TATAGTCTATAGTAGATGGCACAATTACCAGTGGTTTCATACACTATCCCTTTCGGATCCTTTCGGTTTTTGGGTGGTTTTGATCGCCCAAAAGGGATCATCCTTTCAGAACCTCCATCGGTTTGCTTCGCAATGCGCCATCTACGACACCGGATCGACCAGAGGCGTCGATGGGTTGGCAGCCCTGCTCTGAAGAGATGCAAAAACACGCGTTCTTTGGCGGGAGTTCTTGAGTTCAACATGGCTCAAGCGAGCCTGGTGCACTTGGAATGAGGATTTTGGGTGGCACTTGGAATGTGTTGTCATGTCCGCAGCATCAAAGATAGGCAATGACCAGTGGCTTCGCTTGGTCCGTGCTTCAGAACCACTAAGTCTCAAGATCTGCGGAACCCACCAGCCCAGACCCGGCCGCTAGGCCAGGCGGCCCCGGCGGGCGGTCTGGCCCAGAAAACGCGCTGGTTCCCCGATCGGACCGGATTTAGCCATGGAGGTTTGACAGGGAGGGTTGGATGGTAACCTAAGTGAAGAAGCCATCATGGTCGTGTGATCCCTGCCATGAATCGATCGGAGATGACTCATCTAGGGCGATCGGAGAATCTTCCCATACTTCCCTGAGCTCGATGCCACTAGGACCTCCATCTTGACACCACCTCGCGGCGTTGAAAACACTGGTGTTCGGTGCCACACAACCCCTCGCTGCCGGTTTGTGATGTCTTTGGACTCGCGGATGCCCCGCGATCGTGGATAACGAGTCCTTCCGTTGGGATCCTTGCTTGGACGACCTATGAACTGGACGACCTATCAGAGCATCGACGCACGCCTCGGATGCCGGTCTATGAGTCTCCTTTGCCTCGAAAAACCATCAGACCACGGGATCATGCTGTACCCAGATGCTCTATGGGACTGCCATATATGTCTACATTCCAATCACATGGAGTGTATGGGGGATAGATTGGTCTAGACACTTCGTTCACTTCCTTCACACTTCCTTCACAGATACACAAACCTTTGGACTGGCCGTTTCGAGCGCGGCGAAGAGCGCGCGGTTTCCCGCGGCCGTTGATCCAGGAATCCCACGAGACAAACGCAACGATGGACACCGCACCGTGTCAGGTGCCAGGGACAGCGCGTATCACGACCAGCACCGGGGCTGTGAAAAAGACCAGGGGTTCTACGGCTGTGTCGTTGTGTCGCCAAGAGTTCAGAACACCAAGCAAATAGTCCGTCGCCAAATAAAAAAACATTACTCTCCCTAGAATTAACATGGAAGTGGAAACCACCTGTTTGTGGTGGAAAATGGTCTTCCAAGGGGCCATTTTCCACTTCCATGTTAGTTTCAGGGAGAGTAAAAAACGACGAAACGAGACCGACTGTAGCAGCTACTAGTATTGTAGCACGAGTGGCATCAAAGTTTCTTCCTGTACACAACATTACACAACATAATCTGGCTGGCGCATGGTGCGACAATCCGAACAACCCGATGTTTTCCTGAATAGTAATTCCATCCCTATGTGAACCCTCCAAAAATACCTACAGCTACCTCCCACACAAAAGAACTATATTGGTCCTTATAAAGGGCCAACGACGTGCATAACATCCTCCACAAACAACAGAACAATGACAAGACCCACAATCTGTAGGCGTTGGCACCACGTCGTGCGCTTGCCTCGGACGGGGTCAGCCTCCCCTGTCGGGTTGTAGACCTGAATGCCAAGCGAGAATAGATAGCACGCAAAAACAGCAAGGACAACGTGGTCTCCGGTAACGTTGACTGCTGATCAATGTTGACTGCTGATCAATCAAATCTCCCCATTTGGATGCACTTGCGGGTCTTGGCGCCTTCACTCCATCTCTTGCTGATTCATACAGGTATATACGGGTTGATTGTTGTGAAACTCTCGTAAATGAAGGGGAAAATAAAGGAATAGCGAGCAAAACCCGATAGGCGGCTGTATGTCCTTCAAGAGAGACGAATTATTTTGAATTGGAGAAGGCATCTACAGTAATTTGAATCAGGTCTGGCCATGGCGGCCTCCGCATTTGGATCCTAACACCTTTTCATAGGGGGGCCATTAATCAACAGGCTACATTAATTAAGGTAGGTACTAGTACCATACAATACAAGGACCATCCACCTGAACTACCAAAACACATAGGAAAACCATGCATGCAATCAGTGTCTTGTTTTCTTATTGTGACTTCTTGGGGGGTGTGATGTTTCAGATACAGATCTTGGGAGCGCGGGCCTTCCGCGGCAAGAAGGTGAACTCGCGATGAGCTTTGTGCTGCGCCTGGCGAATTGAAACGGAACAAAGACCAGTAGACGCAGCAACCTCCCCCGTCCAGCTTGGCGACAGCACCAGCACGTTTAAGTTCAGCGACCCTGTAAAGCTGCAGGAAAAGGGATAAAAATAAGAATACCTCTCGGCGCCTCTGAGTCCTGTTTGGATACGCACAGCAATTTCGGATTTATAGACACAAAGTTTGACGTTTTTCTTGATATTTGGATGAGGATCCGTATTTAGGGCACGCCCTTGTTTCGAGACATCGTGTCTGATTCTCAAACGGCCAAGCTTAATGCTATATAGGAGGAGAAAGCTTGCACGTGCTTACTTCACAAAAAGGGAGCACCTATCTAAGTGTTGGGAAGTGCGGCCTTCTGAAAAGGTGCTGAAATGTAAATCCATGCGAGCAGAAACATCCCTCAACGCGACGCCACATATGCATTTAATGTCTCCCTTCTTGGCTAAGAGCGCCTTGGCACCCCCCCCGCATTGGAAACTCGCCCAATGAGGAGCCTTGTTGCCTGAACCCTTCCACCAGGGTGTTCACCTCCAGTCCGACCTTCGCTCCATCTCACCAGTGGGTCACTTGGGTCATCCACCTTCTCAATCGCTTCCAAGGCGATGGAAGCGGTTTGCGCCCCTTGGAACTCCAACTTCACCTGGTTGGCGGCGGCGACGCTCCGGATTTCGGGGCGAGGGATGTCCGGAACAAGGGAGTGGGGAGGAGCGATGGCAGAAGGGACAAGAATATGTCTACACGGCTTGGGTGGAAACTCTACTAGTAGCAAGGACGCTATCAGGTGGAGGCCATCGCAAGTAGGTTGGAGGACATCACTACTAGTAACAATAAAGCTTTCTAGTATGTCTTTGAAGCTACTAGGGTGGAGGCCATTGCTACTAGTAGAAGTATATTCCACCCTAGTAGCTGCAAAGACATACTATATAGTAGCGATCAAAGACATGTCTACACGGCTTGGGTGGACATGAGTTGAACCTCAAGACGCTTCATCTCCATCAAGTCCTTCTTCGGCCTGAGAATGTTCGCGCGCATGTTGTACCAAAAAAGATCATGTTCACTGGGGGGTAGGCCCAGGTAGGCCTTCTATCAATCAACCAGCCAATAATAAAGGGATGTCAAAGGCCATCGACGCAAACCCTGGACGTGCAAATCTACGTCTCGACCAAGCCGAGCGGCGCTTCGCTTTAAGTTGTTCCCCACGATGTCCACGAACTTGCTCATGATCTGGGTTGCGCAGAGGTCATTGAGGGGTGTGTCTCGTTTTGTTCGAGGGTTCAGGAAGGTGCAGAACAGCCCTTTCCGTTTGCAATCAGAGACTTTATTGGTTTCTGCTCATCCACCTCATGTCAAAAAGATTGTTATTGTTCCCAATTTGGTTTCCAAAAATGTGGAAGGATTTTCAGTTGGGAACCCACCCAACTAGAGTACCACAAAGTCCGCAAAGATGGGAACCCACTGTGAAGGAAACCTCGAATGTGTGTTGTGTGTTTCCCAGTAAGAAAAACACACTGCTTCCAACGCAATCTGAATCACTTCCATCATGTCCTTTCTAAATCAGAGAGCAAGCTTCTGCATGCGCTGTCTGGAGGTCATAACACAGACCCACTTGGAGCTGCTTCCTCTACATGGGAAGCTGCAATGAAATTGCGGAGAAGTGACTGTAGTGACTCAAGGGCAAAGGTTGAAAAGAAACTTTCGACACATCCACGAAATCAGGAGGCGTTTGGTAGGCGGAAGTGCATTAATTGGTGGGTGCTGGTCATTTATCGTGCAAAAGCAACTGTAAAAAGTCACCCTCACACAAGCACAGCATGGTCGAGAATAGTGACTAACCGGTCTTTGTCTGCCGCAGCTGTTCTCGCACGCAAAAGAACGGGTGTTTCTCCCAATCGAATTCCATGCGTCCAACTCCACCGCCCAGCGTCACAAGAAACTTTGCCCACTCTCCCAAAACCGACAAAGAGTCCCGCTGCTGGTCGTACAACATAACAGTGCTGTCTGTCTGCGCCATGCGACACATTGCGCCGCCACGCCAAGACACTGCACTGCCCAGCTTGGTGGAGTTCGTTTGTCTGGAGACCCTCATGACCTCCAGCCAGTGGAAAGACAGTCCCAACGGTCGCGAGTGACCCGGCGGGTGACCCGGCGGGTGACCGCCGCTTCGGTGACCCGGCGGGTGACCCTGAGGGCCTTTTGAAGATGAATTCGAAGCTCCAACCTACTAGCGATGTCCTCCAACCTACTAGTGATGGCCTCAGAGATGTGGCAGAATATTGAATAGAGTTAGAGCTAGAAAGTCAGGAAGATGAAGCCAAGGACGACGGTGACAACGGTCACGCTTTCCAGAAGAAATCAACAAATCCAGGGGCATGAAATGGTATCGATAGCAGTCATGGGTGTTGTGATAGGTACCAGGGTCGTCGGCTGGTCTGAAAGTGGGCTCTGGACACAACCTCATACAAACTCATACATCTCTATAAGTAACATACACAGATCTTGGAATTCATAGCAAAACCTGCGTGGAAAGTGTAGATACTGTGGACGCAAGGTTGCACTGCTCGCACTATTGGCGACGCAATGCAAACAGGGAAAAATCATTGTTCACTAAGTAAGGACAAAAGACATGTTAATTATGTAATCAAAAACAATATGCATCGTCTGCATCCTTAATGTGTACCAGCATGTGTACCAAGCTACCACCGTTGGGACCTGTGGACCTGCGAAGTTCCACAAACAAGACCTGCGATGAACCCCCATGTGTGCCTCGGGCTCGGCCTCTACTGGAGGTCGGAAGTTCTTGAGCACACGCACCCTGACACGCGTTTTCCCGGGTTTGGCTGAGCTTCGTCAGACCTGGGGGTGAAGAGGTCTGGGATATGATGTGCCAAGTGTCCTCCAGTTAGTTGTGGGTCTGTGTGAACTACAAATATCTGATGCTCAAAGCAGTCTTGCCAGGGTCTGAACAATACGGAGATTCTCTCCCTCTACCATTGGCATTGAGAGTGTGCAACCTGGAATCTGTACAGCCCATGATGGCCGTGTGGGGAGCCTGCCCATGGCTCCAGTGCAACAAGAAATCAAACACCAAATTAATTTGAGTTGATAAAAAATGGCCGTCGGTCAACGCCTCTTACAACATGCATTGGAGAAGTACCTTCAAACCAAACAATGACAGAATCGCCCGGAAAAAGAAGAACCCCCTGTTCTCTCCTCCAATCTCTCAGTTGTTCTCAGCCTACTTCAAACCGAATCAAGGACTTTTCCTCAACTTTCGCCTCATTCTCCGACGGTTCTCGCCTCATTCTCCGATCGCGCTTACGGAGCAGCAACTGTGCCTGGCGACCCGGTTGTGAGCCTCCCTGCAAGAATCATGCAGTGAGCCTCCACTTCGGTGAGTATAGAACTTGATCAGAACCGGGATTGTTGACAAACACGAAAACCACAAACTCTCAGTTCGACATGGAAAAGAAGCTGTTTGTAAAATGTGACTCTTTTGCTGCGAGGAATCATCGCAGCCCACCCATTTCGGTATGACTGGTACAAAAGTGGCTAGAGCCTGTGGGAGATGACCCTTGATGTTGAGCCCAGATTGATCATCACATGTAGCACCGGATAGTGCAAATGGATAGGGTTGTCCAGCGACCACGATTTCTTCAGCACGGCGGCCCCGTTGAGCACGGCCCTTGACAACCATGGGCAATGCGATTGAGGCGGAGTCGGCTTCACTGCGGCACACCGAGACGCTCCGATCCCAACACCAGGTGGATCAATCACCGGAACGCCGGATTCGAAAGGTTCTTAATACCTGATCCGTTCCACGGATGCTTCTATGCTTCTTCGTTTGTTTTGACCCAACATCCAGAGTCCCAAGGTACATCCAACTGAGGTCCTGAAAATGGTGTCAAGGTTTGTTGATCCCACCACCTTTACTGTGGATCAACATCAGGACAGTTAGAATATGTTAGAATCCCTTGGGGGGGAGCTCAAGGCAAAGAAAAGCCTCCACAAGTCAACTGGTGCTACATAGCAACGAAACTATATAGAAATGAACAAACCACTCAGTAGATGATAATCATCTTTCAATCCCTTCTGGCCGCGAGTGGTTTGCTTGGGAGAGTGTCATACTACGCCGAAAACCACCGCCCAGCAGAACCCCATCGTCTGGCCCACCGCCGAGTCAAAGTTGCTCGGCACGTCGCCAATGGCGTACCTGGCAAAGGATCGGGGCACCATCGGGTGTCACTGAGGGAACCAAAACGCCAGTACAGGCTCATCGCAAAAAGGAATTCACATCAATTCACTGGTCCAAAAAGATTCCCAAAGCCCCCACGTCAAAGCACTGATTGAATCTGCTCATTCCACTGAGGAAGGTAGATGATGCCCACGTCCAAGACAGTGAAATAAGACATGCCATAATGCTGTGTCTTGATTAATCACCCCTCCCAGATTAATGTCTGCACCGTTTTTTAAAGTGTTTTTTGTGTTTAACAAATGTTTTCTTATTATAGTGTTTTTTTAAATATTGTTTTATGTTTATGTTTATCAATTTTATACAGCTTATTATGTCTGCACGGTTGCTTTTATTGGGGATCAGTCTGTTTTCAATTGAAACAGAAGAGGAACCCACAAAGAAAAACCCAGAACGACCAACAGACTCCTGGTTTCTTGTGTCGCTCTCCAATGGCCCGGCGCACATCATGGTGCTCCGGTTGGAGGGGCTGGTCAGAACCAAGTCCACTGCCTGACAGGACACTCCACAGACCATGACGACGCTCCGAAGCCAACGCTGGTCGACGAGTGGGGAACCACAAAGCACTCTGAAGCTGCTGCAGATATCTGCAGATCAGAATTTCTGCATGTGAAGTCTAGAGCGTATGCTGGCTGAATCTGAGCAGGAAGCTCTTCAACCAGCATGGCTTGGTGGGAAGAAAACATATGTTGGCCTTGTGGCCTTGTGAAGACCATAATCTTCCTCTCCTAATTGGGTCGATTGCAATGATCTTCGCGGGAGAGGACAAACTTCGTTGCATCACCGAACTAGAAATCCCTCAGTTGGGCTTTCCACCTAGGTGATGAAGGGTTTAGCATGGTTTCCTAGATCAAAAGCGCAGAGACTGATCGTATTGCGAACTCGTGGCTCTCTACCTTTCTAATCTGGACTTCAGGATCTTTTGTATAACCCCTCAGGATGCGTGCCAAGAGTTTGGCTTGGGAATAGACAGAACCAAAGATCAATGCCCGTGGTATGTGTTCAGTTAGGGGTCGTACGTGTTGTGCTCATTCTGGAGATGGTTTTTCAAGCGAGACAAAACAGGCCGAAGGGATGAAGTATGATCCAAATCCATCCAAATCCAACCTATATATATATGATATGAATATATCATGTTGTTTCATTTGAGACTATTTATCAAATATCATATTTATATGTATATAGAATATATGCAACGATGTATATCAAATGGAGACTATAATATCTTTGGTTAATTTGTTCAGCCAGTGATTCATAATGATTGGTCTCTAAAGGTCATTGTGACAGCCTGTCACGACACGCGTCTTTTCCGCATGTCACGGCACGCGTGGGGGGGGGTCACCGGTGGTCTGGTTGGTGGTGTCAACTGGCTTAAACCATATGAGTCAGATATGAGTCAGTGGGATCAATCATCCCAAGTAAACAAGTAAAGGCTGAACATAGACATGCATTCCCTGGAATCATCCTTGGTTCGGATGAGTGAAAACCACCTGCTTGCTTCGGATTGTTTTCATGGTCATCCTTTCGGGGCGCCATACGTAACGATTCATTCGTGTCCGTGGGTCAGTGGTGTTGGATGACTTGCCGGCATCGCCGTTCCAGGTCCGCCAGGTCCTCCGTGACACGGGGGGCCCCACTCGATCTCCCTTGTTGAAGACCGCGACCATCGCCTGAGACGGCGACCGAGCCGACAGAGGTGCATCAGCGATCGACGATGTCGCTGTGATAGAGACGAGATGGGTGTGATCAATAGCTATTGGCCGTGTAAGCGGAGCATACACCAACACACTGTTGTGCATATTACAGTATATAGTGAAGTGTGTGAATACATTCGCACTTCTGAGAAAACAGATTGATCTGTTCTACTTGCAAGGGTGTCTATATCATTCTATATCAGGTTTTGAACTGAGAAGACTTTGCCCCACTTTCTATCAGCTTTTTTGGAAAATCCCACTTTTCCATAGGGTACGGGAATACGGTACGCCGAGTGTGTGCACCAAAAAGAACGCTCCCATCAGCTCTTTCTACAAGCCAAGCTGCTCCCATCAGCTTCCGGGCATCCGTGGAGCTCGAGACATTCAGCTCCTGGAGGCATTATACAGCAGCATCTGAGGTGGGTTGTGGGTTCCAGCAGCATTTTTGTTTGTTAGAGCCTTTATAGAGGCGTTTTATTGTGCTTTTGTCAGAGCATGTTTATTGTTCTTTTTACCTTAACAGGGAGGGGGTAGGCCGCTATAGGAAGAGCCAAGCTATAGTAGCTATTATATAATTTCTATTAAGGAGGACACGTCTAGAGTCTAGGTAGGACGCAGGATAGCTCACGCACTAGTAATTTGGTTCCTAGAGTTTTCGGGAAACTTAACTTACAGTTACAGTACGTTGAAGATCACTATCTTGACTGTCGACTGAGGGAGCTCTTTAAAAAGCACAAACACGGTGGGTGAAGATGTGTGAATATTCAAGAAAAAGGATAAAGCTTGATTGAATGCATGTGGCTGGGCTGCGCGGCTGAGCAGCCACAGGAACCGGCTGGTGGTCCATGTGGCTTTTCGCTTGGTTGGTGGGTTGGTTGGATTCTAAACCCAAGATGAACCAAGTTCCTAGAGGCCAACTGAATGACAATTTCTTCAAGAAGCACCTGTCACCTGTCTTCCGTGCTTCTGGAGGCACTACGGAAAGATCTTGGAACCACCAGCAGGTGATTTCAGGCCAACCTGAGCCTCACCTTCCGCTCCTGGCTCAACTACCAAAAACTTACCCTGCATCGCCCCCATTCACTCCAGTAACTCCTTGCTGCATCAGCCCACCACGCCTGAAACAGGGGCAAATAGTGGGCCTCGGCCTCAGCTGGCTCTGCCTCCGCTGCCAGCACAGCCTCAGAGTGGGTCGGGTAGTAGGCTTCTCTCATGTCTGCGAGAAAGAGTCGCAATGGGCATATATTCCATGGTTGCAAATTGCACTGTCCTACAGGTTTACACTCATATAGCAAAGACCCTATTTGACTCCGTTGAAGCCAATCGCAGCATTTCAACCCCTTGTCGTGTCCGTCCTCGTCCCGAAACTCGGGAACACGTGAACCGATAGATGCTGCAACATTGGCTCTTCTCTGGGATCCCGTTCAGCCTCAACTTCGCCTGGCGAACGTCCATCGCTCTCGATCAGTGATCACTCTGATCACTCATTGGAGTTTACGGTTTACATGTTTCCCCAATAGGACCCCCATTAATGCCTCCCAAGTGAAACGACAGAACTCACTAAAGCAAAGGGCGATTCTTCTTACAAGGGGAAGGGAATGGGTCGCTTCTCACCCGTCATCTACTTGGTGCTTGGGATGGATTACAGTATAGTGCACTGCCGGCACTTAGAATATGGCCGGAGCATTTGGTTGCAGTTAGAATATGGCATTTTCATGAACGACAGCACAGTTAGAATAGACATTCTAAGTGCAATAACCGACCACACATACCTCAGCATCTTTTCCCACCCAAAGACACCGGAGATGAAGGCTCATGCATATTTACTGGTTGCACATCTCCCTTGAGGCAAGTGTGATTGGATTGACACACGCTGCATATATTCTAAGTGTGGTGCGCACATTCTATGTGGATGTGTGGAAATTCTATCTGCGCGTCCGCGGACAAATGGACAAGTGACCTTGGGACATATGGACCAAATCAAAAAAAAAAAATTGGTCATATTCTAAGTGCTAGCTGTCCACTATAAGTGTAAACATTTCAAAACATGACCTTAACAACACCAAATCACCAGACCACTGGGAGACAAACATAAACCAAAAAAATGGGACTGAACCCTCAACCCATCAGTTCCATGTTCCATTTTTTGTCGAGTTCCTTTGCTCACCCACTTGGTTCTTGCGTCATTTGTGTTTTGCCCGCATGTATTTTCCCGGACAATCTTCGCCTACCGTTGATATCCCTTGATGATGGGTTTTGACGCACCTGGGTCACCTGTCAGCTTGACCTAGCAATTCTGCCAACTAGGTCATTGTTGCACGTGCCCCTAGTTTCGGAGACACCCACATATCAGGGTTCCATCAGGGCTCCAGTTGTACTTTCCCAGATTGGTACTTTGCCCTTCCCACTGGTTATTTACCGTTAGCCGTTCCCTTCCTAGGAGAAGTTGTTTTCCCAAGACTGTGGTTTGGTGGGTTCCCGAATGAGTCTTTTCGCTTCCCATTTTCGTGGTTTGCCCACTTGCTGTCCACTTGCTGCCTTTCATCTCCAGCTTCTCACATCTTGTGGGCCATTGTGCTATGTTTCTGGCTCCGAAAGAAGTCGTCACAGCCGTTGTCGTCCAACGGGGAGCAAGCAACGCGTGCCATCTCGATTTCTTTCTTGAAATCGTTGCGCAATTAGGACAGCAGCTCCAACAAAGGCTTTTGCTTGGGAGACGCTGCCAGTCTTGCCATCATTCGTCGACTTGGCGACACAATCTGTAGTTACTGTGCAAAAGTTGATATGAATATGAATATGCACAGTCAAGCACATATCATACAGTTACTGCACTGCAGAGGAGGCGCGTGGATATCACTGTCACTACGTTGTTAAAAGTTCTAAGTGCTTTAAGTTCAAAATGCGCAGTGCGTGTCCATAATTTTATGTCTCATGCTTCTATGGAGGCATGGTTGTCCTATACCCAAAAAAAGGAATTCAAGACTTGCATTGATTCGAGCCCAAAAGAAGTCCACGAAAAATCCCCAAGAGCTCAAGGCCAATTTCACAGGCCCCACAGTGAACCTCCGCCGGAACCTACTCCGGAGCCTGCTCCGGAACCTGCTCTGGAACCTGCTCCGGAACCTGAATTTTACTTTAAATTTTCGTGCGTCTAGAGATACTTTAAAACAATATGTTTTTAATGAAACATGTAAAAAAAATAAAACCCTGGCCCCTTTTGCCCCCAAGAGTATGAATCATTGCCACAGAAAAGGAGCATAAACAACCAACCTGAACACCTATTGGCACCCACCCTCTGCCATTACATTCTGAGCATGGAAGAAATGCCCAACTGTTAGCGTAGTTAGCGTCATCTGCGTACTGGGGCCCCCCTGAACCCCACCACCACCTCCCGAGTTCGCACCTTCCTCGGCTGAACGCACCACGCGGGAGTCCGTCCTGCACTGTTCAACACTGATGTTTTTGAGGAGAGACTTGGCAAATCTTTCAAATGATCCGTATTTATCTAAGATCAGGATTAACGTATGATTCAGATTCAGATATGTGTTTCAAAGAACATAACTTTCTGCCTAAACGACGATGGTTACACCGGTTGCACCTGTCAACTGAATGACTTGGGCCTGCAGATCTTGGTTCATTGATTCACTGCATCTCATTCTAGTACTTTGTCAGAATCTGGGGTCCAACTAAAACATCCGGAAGTCATCCACAAGCTTGGCACCAAAAATAGGAGCTTGTTCGTACCTTATCGGTTCCACGCTCAGTTGAGTGGTGGAGAAGAGTGAGAAGCAAATACTTTCTGTTTCCTTACTATCCTAGCTTAGTAAAAACCCGGCAAATGATGCTTCCAGCGACTCTAGTGGCGAAATGAACCGCTGGGACCCCAAAAAGGACATCGAATTAAAACTTTTGGCTCAAATCTGAGATTTAGCTCCACTCCAAACCGTTGGAGCCCCAAAATAAGTCCCCCATTTGGGGGGGATGTATATAAATGTTCACAGCAAATGATGTTCCACCCACCATAGGTTGACTTCACGGCTCATCCGGGAGATGCTGGAAGCTTTGGTGGCTGAATCGAATCGTTTTTGCACGCTGCACTGTTGCACTCGTCCCAATATAGCCCCCTGTTAGGAGGGTTACTAAATATGTAGTAGTATACTATGTAGTGGCTATGTTCCCTACCAAATTAAAGCTATGAGAATACCGACCATCTCAACAACGAGAGCCTCACAGACCACCCCTAGTAGAGGACAATCACCTTGATGCTTCAAAGCCATCCAGCCTGATATTCAGCCATTCTGAGGCACTGGAGGCCGTTCTGATGGACTGTCATGGACTGTGACAAGAGGGGCACAAAACCCAGTCGGGCTGGTTGGGCCGTCGAGCCTCTTCTATTGCACACCCCTGCAGTGCTTGTGGGTTCGCTTCCAGCACGCGGCGCACCCTCCGCTCTGCGCCTGCGACACGTCCGTCCCAAAGAAGGCCTGGGGACGGCGACCGGTTCGTCAAACGCACCCGAATCACTGGGGAACCGTAGAACCTAGTAGAACCCGAGGTATTGGCAGATTTTCGCAGCAGGTAAAGCAGGGTTTCTCTGAGGGTTTTCAACGAAATCTTGGCCCATGTCATCATGTCCGTCAACCAGGCTTGGGCTCTGAGATGGAGTGGTGTTGGGTGGCTGCTCAAGGTCCTTCAGAGATCCAAAAGATTCGTTTTCACAGGACCACGGCTCTCGACCGACCGGAAGAATGGAGGAACTCCAGAAAATCACCCTGGATCACAAACTTCTCAGATGTGAGAAAGAAATCCAAAAAAGTAAATCAAAAACATCTGGGAGGCCACACCTTAATGAAAAGCCCCTTTGGTCCTCGGATCAGATCCCCCTTTGGTCCAGGTGTTTCACCGATATCCTCGGAGCATCTCTCTCGTTCTCTCGGAGTCTCGTTCGCGGCGGTTCGCGGCTGGATGAAGGAGTTGTTCAGCTGAAATAGCACCACCAAGCCCACCTGGGACGGTCGGTGGATGAGGACCAATGGGACTCGAGTCATCTCCAGAGGTGAAGAGGGAGGCTGAAGCCACCCCTCACCGCCCCGCCGAGAGCCTATGATCAAGAGTTGGTCGTCTCTGTTTCGCTCTGGGCCACGGAAGGCCAATGTAACGAGATAGGACCTGTAGGCAGCACCATCTGGGGTGACAAATCAGATTGACCCATTCTCCCTGATGTTTCAAAATGTGTTGCTTGCAAATCGGTCTATCTATATTATATATACGACTTGATGGATGTTTAAAAGAGAAAGCTGTCACAAGAGCGTGAGAATATATAAAAATGGCCGAACGGTTCCCGAAGCTCCCGATATTTGATGCCACCAAAGCCACCTATGAAATGGCTTGGCCTCTTGATACCCTGAGATCGGTCAAGTTTGGTAAATCCTTGGCAATATTTTGCTCAAGAGGCCCTGACCCGATGCAGCATGCAAGGGGTAGACCCACAAAGCGGTAAGTGAACACGTGTGGCCCGGGTTTTTCCATCTTTCAGACCACAGCAGGCGAGTTCGGCCACCTTTCAGACCATCAACAAGTCACAACCCACTGTTACACTGCAGGCTGGATCTCCAAGCCTGCAAGACTTTTTTTTTTTTTCGAAGGTTCTGTCAGGTATTGATCATCATCTAGGGCCATTTGGGGGGGGGCGCTGCTGGATGAAAGGCGGTCAATACTCAAACGTTGGTGTCCTCGGAACCGAGGGTCGGACTAGCAACAGGAGCGCTCGGCCATGCGCACCTGGTGACGCAGGGTGTGCGCCTGCTAGTTTTGCCGTAGGTTCTGTGGGTTTCATCGCTTCTGATTGATTCAAACCAGCCGGAGCAGCTCCAGTTTGTGGAGAAATTTGTTTCACTCTGATTTTCTAGCGCATGTGTTTACAAGAAATGTGCAAACTTTAATCAAGGTGATCTTTCTGAAGGGCCGGTTCCCAGGATGACCTCAACCTTGCCACAAACTCTGTGGCGGCTTGAGGTCAGAAGTAACCTCCTGAAAGGCCTCCGCATGTGCTTGATGCATGTGGAACCCTGTGGATCCCACTGTATATGCATATGCATATATATATATGATATGCACATATATATATATATATCAGAAGCAACCCATCGCACTGCTTACTGGAACAGGTTGTGGTCCTGGCCAAAGAAAAGGGCGCACCCCGGCCCCATGAACCCCCGACATTTGGAGACGGTTCATTCCAACCGTGCCCTTTCGAAGGGTGGTGATAGATCTGCTCTTGATGGTCATGAGTCATGAGGCAGTACATTGGCCAGTTCCGAGCCTAGCAACCACCTGTTAGATGACAAAGTTCAGGTGGATTGGCGTGATTGAAAGCGGCTTAGCCACAGCCAGTGATGATGGTTCCATTGTTTTTCCCGTAATCCCCATTCACAATAAAGAAAACCAAAGCACGCCACGAACCTGATTGAGTGTACTCCCGGAAACTAACATGGACCCTGAGTGAATGGTACCATGAAAGACTGTTTTCCTCTACAAACCGGTGGTTTTCAGGGTCGTTTTTCAGCAGCGGTTTTTAACGATTTGGGCTTCATCCGTCATTGAAATGTTCTAAACCTCATCCTGTTTTTACCGGTGCCCCCCCCCTCCTCGGGTCCGCGGAGGAAGCTCCACAGTGGCCATGGTGGTCTTGGAATGTCGACAGGGGAAAAGCTGATTTCGGTCTTGGCAATCTCCGTCCTTGCAAAATGGCAATCGCAAGGTCCTTCATTATCCTTGTGAAAAGCCTTGAAAAGCCTTGAAGAGCATGTATGTTTCGTTCTTTTTGTAGCTTCTGGACTCGACTGCTTCCTTGTCTCACCTCGGGCCCTTGATGGCTGGCGACAAACATCGTGACATTGCAGGGCATGCTTCGCATCCTCGCTGCCAAAGATTCAAATTTAGGCAAAAAAACTCCAACAAAGAGTCAACTGCGCTTGTCAAAACGACCTTGGAGACACGCGTGAAAATTCCCCACCATTGCAAGCGAATCCCACACATGCGCTGAAAAAAGAGTATTGTGACCGTGAATGGTGCTAGTTGATAAGGTTCATAGGGTCTTGAACTAATTTGGATAAACCGAAGTGTTATTGATGCCCCACAGCCCCACAGCTCTGATCAAATCCATCAGCACCCTATTTTGGACGAGTCTTGTGCTAGTGAGACCTGGTGGAGGGGTCCCACCCAGGAGATCCGATCGGAATGGGTGGAGGCGAACATCAAGTCTTCAACTCAGACATCTGAAACCATCTTCAACAAATATATATATATATATATTTGGTTGTTTATTTATAGTTACTTGTATTTCTTTATATTACTGTATACTCTGCATAATATGTATATATATATACAAGAATACCCCACAGACAGTGTGCAAAGCGCTTCTAAAAACAGGTGGCCTTTCTACGGAACTCTTTCATTGATGAGACAGCCCTGAGACTTGCGCCCCTGGTGATGTTTGATTTGAGTCACCTGCATCTATCTGCATCTCTATCCTCCACCAGTCCTTTTTACCCGTGGGTTTTCGAGGTAAAACTCCCTTTGAAGGGCTATTCTAGTAGCTTCCTCTTACTAGTAGTACGGCCAGGAGCCCCTTGTAGCGTCCTTGCTCCTAGTAGCGATGCCCTTTGTTCCCAGTAGCGTTCTTGCTCCTAGTATTAATGCCAGGAGCCCCTAGTAGCTAGTCAGAAGTGATGTACCCGAGATTTAGGACCAACAGCACCAAGGACAGAAGTCCAATAACACGATGGACGGTAAGCTGACGCGGTGTGGACATGATCGTATTCCCAGGTGCGGAGCAAATGGAACCGGTTTGATTGTAGTTCCAATCTGAGTCAACTCTCATGAAGATGAGCTCGGGAATGGATCTTTCTGCAGCCGAGTGAAAAACCTAGCCCTCCTCCTCTTTCAGAAAAAAAAGACACCTGAGACTTGCATGCTTGATGCACTTGGACCTTGCTGCGAAAAATCTATCGCCTCCACGCATGTGTGGACCGATGCATCAAATTAAACCACGTCTCAGTCCTCCAAGTCCTCGGTGCGGAGACTCGAAGGGTCGGAACCCAAACCGAGGAGTCGTCGCTTGGGATTCCGCATCGTCTGGACACGAAGGGTCGGAATCCAATCCGACTGATGAGTGGAGGAAAGGATTTGAACGTCTGGCTGACAGATGTTGTCCGTGTGAACCCTTCAGGGGTGGTGCCAGGCCTCTATGTTTCTGAAAACAGTACTATTTTATACCAGTTTGATCCATTTTGACTCGTCCCCTGGCGTCGCCCATGTCCTGAGTTTTGCCATGTCTCAACCGAAGGCATCCGGAGTCCTGTCGATCAACTTGCAGGTCTTGCAGAAGAACGGTGTTTGACACCAGAATACATTGGTTGACCTACCTGGGAGGTCAATCTGGTAAAAGCAAAATTGTTATATGTTTAATAAATAACTATGTTTCTCTGAAATCGATATGACCAAATTTACAAAATCGTGGAAGAAATTTGAAGAAACATAAAAGAACATGACCCATGGACAAGAACCATAAATGTTGCCATATAATGTCCATATCTGTTCATAACATGTTCATAATGGTTCATGTGGTCCATGAAATTTATCGAAAACATGTGAAATTTCCTTGAACATGAAATGATATGACATGTCTTTAATGATTTCAAGATTGTGTGTAAAGTTCATGGAATCTGTATGATTTTGTTTAATGACCGCCTTTATAAAAAGTATGAAAAGTTGAATATTTACACAATCATAAATGTCCACGTAGTTGCTTTCATGAAAGTTATATGTAACAAAAGTCTATCTTGAAGTGATTTTATCAACTTGTAGGATCTCAAAACTAAATGTCTCTACTGGTACTGCAATAGCAGTGATGTGCGATCTTGCCCACTTCTCACAAGTCTTGCTAGTCTCTGCATGGCTTCAATTGGGGTCCCCCTTTGTGTGTCCAAAACACAAGGACGGTGCCTGGATGGCGAAAAAAGGGCTCTGAGGCTCGGTCCAACCCACCAACTATGACATGTCGGATCACTTGTGGATGTGAACTACAAACCTATATATATATTATCAATAGCGATATATATATATATTATAAGCTGTGGTCCAAAGAAAGTCCTTCATAGTGACCTTTTTCTCCATAATTACCAGTCCATACACGTAGCTCATGCCCCAGCTGGGCCATTTGGTCCATCTCCGGATCTCCTGGCTTTACCGGGCGTCTCCGTCTTGAGTTCGCCCGCCTGTCCACGCGGACGGTGCGAAGGTCGAAAAGCGACAGTGCGAAGGTCGCAGCTCGAGGAAAAAGACTGGATGGAATGTATTGAATAGTTGTTTGGTGGTAGTAAAACGTCCGACTTTGTTCAACAGGAATTTGTAAAAGGCGATGCAAAAGGCAAGGATCTGTACCCCGAAAGCTTGTTTCTTGGGTTCGAGCAACAGATTCTTGAGATGAAAACAAACATGCTTGGGTGCGTGACATTCACCACACTATACTGTATGCCATCTCTACGCTGGATGAAACTCCTTGTTCAGCTTTTGGACAGAAGTCCAGGTCAGGTCATGTGAGTAATGTACAGCCGTCATGTGAGTCATGCATCTCTGACTTTATCCTTCTTTCTCATTTGCCACAGACGAATCAGACGAGACCCGGAGTGTCTCCTCTGCCATTGTTACATATTGTTACGTATAGCTCAACCTATCTCTACATTCTCAAATGGCCTCAACCTATCTCCACCACCGTCCACCCAGCATTGGCACCTTGCTCTTCCCAAGCAGGTGGGCTCGCCCCAGCAACATCTCCTGGGTGTGTTCCAAGGGAAGGAAGGGGGCGTTACGCCATGCCGGCAACGCGCCGGCAACGCTTAAACGACTCCGAGGATCTGACATGACATTCGATCACTTCCCTAAACTAACTGAAATGGCCCGCAGGTGGAATGGGAAGAGATTCTACTCTCCTGAGAGGTGCCATGTTTGGGAGAGATTGGATTGTCGCAAAAGAAAAGCAAGGGTTCTTCAAAGTGTCTGTTCGCCTGTCTGTGCCGATCAAGCTGTCAACGGGCTGGTCAACGTGACCTGCCTGGACGTCCCATTGGAGGTCCGGTCACCCAGCAACTCCATGGGCCCCGTGCCATATGGCTGCGGGTAATGGCACCTGGAGACTCTGGTAGGTTGACCTCCATAGTCGTCCATTCTGTTCCTTTGACCCGTGGTCAAACACGGTTCCCCAGTGCCACGACCCGCGTGCCAATATGCCACAACCAGGCTTTGGAGTTCCCTCCCGTACAACTCCCTGGCGAAAACTTGCTCGTCGAAGCACAACACACCTGTAATCCACCCCATGAAGGAAAATTGATCTTGCAAAATGTTTGCTCCCAATTTGGTTCCGTACTTGGAAGGAAAGACCCCAAACAACTTGGTTCTTGGTACAAGAAGATTGCACAACATCTATCGGGCAATTCTGATGAAGTCTCTCCACCTCACATCGCATGGGTGTGTATTTCAATTAAAAAGACCCCCCTGGCACAAGCTAGGTAGACCGGTCTGTTTCCCACAGATGACCCATCACCGCACCTGCGCGGCGCGCCGTTCGCCACGGCGGTCGTCCGCGCCGAGGGCTGGCGAGCGATCAGGCGGATCAGCGCACTCGCCTGGAAGGGCGGGGCGAAGGTACTTGGACCCGGGGGGAGACAGAGGCGGAGTCCTAATTCCAAGGAATTTAAAAAGACCAAAGACCAAAGGACGTTTGTTGCAGGTGGTTCCATCATTTCCTACACAGGCGAGAACAGCTCGGCACCACTGCACAACCGAGCCTCAATAGACATCCACCTCTCCCTGCTGCAAAGCCGAACGCCCGAGGCTTTGCCGCATCAGTGGATGGGATGGAAAGGGGCCAGTTGAAACACACAATTACTCTACGTCGAGTGATCCATTGACAGGCCACTAGCCAGACAAAGTCGGACATGCGGATTGACACAATGTTCTGACGCTTGTTCTGGCATCAAGTCTGGCTTGTTCTCGAAGTAGAGCCTATCTCATACAAAGGCGAAAACGTGTGTATTTTAGTTTTTGTTCTTTTTGCACAGGGGACCCTTTCAAATACTCAAAACGCGCTGCCCCAACGCATGCGACGAGGCTGCTTGCACCCCGGTGAACGCGGGCAGCTTTGGTGGCCGGCAGCAGGTTGTCAGCGAAGATCTGGCGCCTTCCGGGCACCAGTGTGGTAAGCTTCACCGATCAGCGTTGGCTGCTGGACAACTTTGACTTTGCTTTGAGCCAGAAGCGCTTGCGGTGTTTAAGTGGAACAGTCGGACAAAACGGCTACATTGAAAAAGGTGGCAACACCTTCGGGGAAGATGATTGTGTTGCGGTTGGGCATGTATACAACGCACATGCCATGTGTTTGCGGTTTTGGCATGTTATGGTGGGAGTGTTTGGTGGGTGTGTTTGTCGGGGCACGACAACAATTGCAGCAGCAACGCCACATGTTCATGCCGAAACCAGACCTGTCTACTTCGAAACAGACCTGATCCGCGCCAAGTATACAAATGATGAGCCATTTGTCACACGTGCAATTGTTACTTCATCGCCCACAAAGATTGCATATTTAGGCTAACTCCCACACACAATTAGAGCAAAACGCCTGCGCGAAGTTCTGCAAGTAGAACTTGCGTCACAGCCCCGACTTGAAAGCAACAAACTTTGCGCGCAAGCTACAGTCAGACTTCCACAGCTTCAGGGGCCGGCGCGCGCCCTCGCTGCAGTTCACGGAGAACGTCGGTTGCTCCACTCCGGATCACACCGCAATCTGGCAAGGAGGTGTGAAAGCCATGACTGCCTGACCGAACGCAAGAAGCCTGCGTTCTCTCGAGCTGCCCTAGCTGCGGCGTTTGTCTGGCCGATGGTAACATCATCATTTGCTTCGGTGTGAACAGTTTGGGACGCATCCCCGCTCAAGGCGGGCAATTGGATTTTGATTCTCCAGTCATCAATGCCCAAAGCGCAGACACTACAAGCGCAGGAGCCGCTGGAGCGTGCGACTGGCAATGTATCACCACTGTCGGCGCCAGATGCTGGAAGCCGGCAACAAGTATGGGTTTGAAAACCAAAGTGCCACAAGGTTTGTATCCACACTTGACGCTGCAGATTAGAGCCAAAGGTGTATGCCAGCGCGCGATCAAACTCCTGCTTGAGAAGGTAGGATGCCCGGACGCCCTGCTTGCTGCGGCCAAGTCAGACCCTATGTGTGCTCCCGACTGGAATAAGGTCAGCCGCTCATTTCACACGCTACACTTCGTCATTTATTCTGGTTACGCTATCGAAATCTTGACTAAATGATGACAAGTAAAGCGCCGTGCATCGTTATTCGGAAATAAAATATCAATGCAAGGGCCCCGCAAAGCCCTTCACTTACAAAGCTGGAAATACAATTCAGAAAGACTGCACACGTCAGTTCACGACCCGTGCTCAAGCACACTCTTTTTCTGCCAGCAGCCAACAACCCGCAAAGGAGTGCTGGCCTTCAGTTCCAATGGAGATTTGTGCGGCCGCTCTTGGATCAAGCCGGTTCGTAGGAGGCTGCGTCGCCCAGGAGTCGCTCCACACCAGATTTTCGGAGCGCAGAATGCATGAAAAATCTTTAACTTCAAGTAGCGCTACAACGGTCTGATTCTGCAACTGCAGCAAGTCATAGTCCACAGCACCGGCCCTGCCCAACTCCACCAGCAACCCGGTCCCAGATTGCACACGCGTGGCGATTCGATGCCCTCACCAAAGACAAAAAATCACCGCTCTGCGCTCCAGTTATGTCCCGCCCTTCTGCAGACAGTTAAGCTGCAACACCAAATGGCAGGAAGGCATACTGGAAAAGCTGCTTGCTGCCCCGGAGCCACACAATCTCAGGAGCCCAAAGCCACATTGTTGTCGCTCACACTCTGCACACACCAAGTATGCGGAAAGGGCACGGCTGGTGGCGCAACTAGGTCTTCCCGGCTCTTTAACACCTCTTTTTCCCCAAGCAAGGAACGTAGGAAACAACTTTACAAAAGCCTTGGAAGTCTTAAAGCTTTATGTCTTATTATTGCGCAATGTTACCGTTACCAAAGGCCTGTCTGTCCGCAAGCAGCTTGCTTGATTTTAAGCGTACAGTAAATAATATACCTATATATGTGTGTGTGTGTATACATAAATACTATATATGAACAAATCCAACCCTGCCTCTTGCCAACCCTTGCGGGAACGCAGCTACACAGGTTCTCCAGCTGCTCGGTGTCAAAAGCCTGCTCTGAAAACCGCCTCCACGTGTTCATCTTCCATGGCAACACAACGTGGGCTCAACTAAAGTCTCATTCCTGAGGCATTTGGACTTGCCAATGCCTGAACAGTGGGGATGTGGGTCTGTGCAGGTTTGATGCACTTGCAGGTGTATTTGCGCTGAAGTCCTACTACTTTGTGAATGCACGTTACCTTGTAATGCTGGTTGTATACACTAGGCTCAAGCCTTGACGGTGGGTCTTCTTCTTTTTGGCGGGATTCCGGAGGTTCAGGCCCTGGCACCGCCAGAGGCGCACCTCCTGTAGGGTGGGGTCACGCCGCGTGCCGCTGACCTTTTTAGGCTGGAACCTTGCAGGCCACTAGAGAGAGCTTGGACGGAAGCATTTTTGTCGAAACGATGCACAATGGATCAAAATAGCATCAACATAGCTTAGCTCCAAGATGGATCAACATAGCTGCAACATAGCTCCACGACAGTCGCTTTCAAAGACCCGTGGTGTGAGGTATGCTGCCCAAGTGGACTTGCACTATCTGCATTTTTGCCTTTGTTTGCTCTAAAGAAAAGAAAAGCGAAGAGAAAGTGAAAAGGAAAGAGAGAGAGAGAGAGAAAGAGAAAGAGCCAGAGCCAGAGCAAGCGGACGAGGAAGAGAAAGAGAAAGGTAGGAGGAAAAGAAAGAGGAAGAGAACGAGGAAGCGGCAGCGAAAGAGTCATTAAGAGGAAGAGAAAGTGAAAGGGAAAGAGAGAGAGAGAGACAGAAAGAAAGAAAGAAAGAACGAACGAACGAAAGAAAGAAAGAAAGAAAGACAGACAGACAAAGAGCCAGAGCAAGAGCAAGCGGACGAGGAAGAGAAAGAGCAAGAGGAAGAGGAAGAGAAAGACAGAGAGAGAGAGAGAGAGAAAGAAAGAAAGAAAGAACGAACGAAAGAAAGCGGCAGAGGAAAAGGAAGAGGAGAAGGACCTGCACCTACCCTGCTTACGCTTGCGCCTGGCGGCTGCACCATTTTGTGCTTCTGCTTGCTCTCCTTCTCTTCCCCTTCTAGAGAAAGAGAAAGAGATAGGGAAAACCGAAGAGAAAAATTACACCACCGTAGACCCCAAACAGTTTGTGTTTTTCGAATCGGAACACTCTGCAACTAGAGCCTGCGACGTCCAGAGCTGGGAGACAAAGGATTGCAAGGCAGAGGCGGCCACAGCAGTCCAGAGCTGGGAGACAAATGAAAAGAACTGGGAGACAAGTGAAAATAAGTGGGAAACAAATTAGCCCAGCTGCAGACCCCAATAGCAAGATACAAACCGGGACAAAAAGAAAAATCTGGAAACAGCTGCTGTTTTCAACACATCGACCATCTCTTCCTTGGACACCATCATCACATAACCGGGACACCATCACAAAATGACCAGGGCACCATCAAAACATGACCGAGACACCGTCACAACATGATTGGGACACCATCACAACATAACCAGGACACCATCACAAGGTGACCGGGACACCAGCATGACATGACGGGACACCATCACAACATGACCGGGACACTATCACAACATGACCGGGACACCGTCACATGACCCGAACACCATCAAAACATAACCGGCACACCGCCAAAACATGACCAGGACACCATCACAAAATGACTGGGACACCATCAAAACATGACCGGGACACCGTCACAACATGAGCGAGACACCATCACAACATGACTGGGACACCGTCACAACACGACTGGGACACAATCACAACATGACCGGGACACCATCACAAGGTGACCGGGACACCAACATGACATGACGGGAAAACCATCACAAGATGACCAGGACACCATCACAACATGACCGGGACACCGTCACATGACCCGGACACCATCAAAACATAACCGGCACACCGCCAACAAAATGAAAGGAAGTGGGAGACAAGCCAGCCGGCAACCCGACCACAAGCACCCCGCCTGGGAGACAAATGAAAAGAACTGGGAGACAAATGAAAAGAAATGGGAGACAAGCCAGCCGGGAACCCGACCACAAGCACCCAGCCCGACCACAAGCACCCAGCCTGCGAGACAAATGAAAAGAATTGGGAGACACATGAAAGCAAGTGGGAGACAAGCGAGCCCGGAACCCGACCACAAGGAACAGCCTGGGAGACAAATGAAAGGAAGTGGGAGACACATGCAAGTTGGAGACAAGCCAGCCGGGAACAAGCCAGCCGCTAACCCGACCACAAGCACCCAGCCTACCCGACCACAAGCACCCAGCCTGGGAGACAAATGAAAAGAAGTGGGAGACAAATGAAAGCAAGTGGGAGACAAGCTAGCCAGGAACCCGACCACAAGCACCCAGCCTGGGAGACAAATGAAAAAGAAGTGGGAGACAAATGAAAAGAACTGGGAGACACATGAAAGGATGTGGGAGACAAGCCCCCGCCTGGGAGACAAATGAAAAGAACTGGGAGACAAATGAAAGCAAGTTGCAGACAAGCCAGCCGGGAACCCGACCGCAAGCACCCAGCCTGGGAGACAAATGAAAGGAATTGGAAGACAAATGAGAAAAAGTGGGGGACACATGAAAGGAAGTGGGAGACAAGCCAGCCAGGAACCCGACCACAAGCAACCAGCCTGGGAGACAAAAGACAAATGAAAAGAACTGGGAGACAAATGAAAGGAAGTGGGAGACAAGCCAGCCGGGAACCCGACCACAAGCACCCAGCCTGGGAGACAAAAATGAAAAGAATTGGAAGACAAATGAGAAAAAGTGGGGGACAAGCCAGCCTGGAACCCGACCACAAGCACCCATGCTGGGAGACAAATGAAAAGAACTGGGAGACAAATGAAAGGAAGTGGGAGACAAGCCAGCCAGGAACCCGACCGCACCCAGCCTGGGAGACAAATGAAAAGCACTGTGAGACAAATGAAAAGAAGTGGGAGACAAATGAAAGCAAGTGGGAGACAAGCCAGCCGGGAACCCGACCACAAGCAACAGCCTGGGAGACAAATGAAAAGAAATGGGAGACAAATGAAAAGAACTGGGAGACAAATGAAAGCAAGTGGGAGACAAGCCAGCCGGGAACCCGACCAGACCATCCAGCACCAAGGCGACCATTCTTTAAAGCATTGAGAACCCCTAACAGTAAACTGTTTGGGGAAAAAATGAATCATGGGCTGCTCGCTCTTAGCCCTATTTCTTCAGACCCATCGCGGAACACGGGAAAAGAGCAAGAGAAGGAGAACCAGCGAAAGAAGCAGAGAAAGAGGACGAGCAAGTGAAACGTCAACAGCATGAGAAAGCGAAAGCCAAAGAGATTGAGAAAAAGAAGAGACAGAGAAAGAGAGAGAGAGGGAGAGAGGGAAAAAGGAAGAGAAAGACAAAGATCAGCTGCGCAAACCCAACACCCCGCCCTGTCGCCTGAGGTTACTGTGCTTGAGCTAGGTTCCAAATCACTCCTACATTGTGCAATGCCCTATAGCACTAACAGATCCTCACATTATCTAGCTGCAACAAACACTGAGGCTCTAACGTGCGAGGTCCTGACCTCGCACCACGACTGTCGGTTCCTGCTTCCGCCTCCTGCCGCCTGCACCTGCCCTGCTTGCCTGCCCGGCCCGCTCTTACGCGTAAGCCTTGAATCTGCAACAAAACATCAGCAAAATTGCAACCTGCAAGAACACACCATAATCATCATACCTTCAAAAAGAAGTCCTATGCGGCCAAAATGTACCGTTCTTGCCTCTCAGCCCTGCGATCCCCCATCGCCCCACCTCGTCCAAACGCCGTGGACAGCGAGCTGAGCGGCGAGATGGGCCGTGCGCAGCCCTGCTCCTCATTCGAACGGAGAGCTCGGTAAGCGCAAGCGAGAAGGGCGATTGTCATCGATTGTCCAAGTCACAACACCCCTGAGAGACGTGTGTATCTATTTGTCCTAGTAACTAGTAGCTTCTAGGTTGGAGGCCATCGCTATTAGGTTGGAGGCCATCGCTTGTAGGTTGGAGGCCATTGCTTCCAGGTATCGTAGGGTCTGATGGGGAGTATTTGGAGACAGTGTTGAAATCCAAACACAACTGGATTCAGGCCCCAAAAACTCTACCAGGGTCTTTAAGGAGGTCTCTACACCGAAAAGCGACGCCTCGAGCAACGCGACACGGGCGTCAAGGCTCATCACCTGGCGGCGAAGCGGTGTTTGGGTGCCTGAGACAATCCGTTTCAACGGAAGTGTTCTGATTAAACTGGTCATCTCACATTCTGTATATAACTATCCACAGAAGCCCATGGATGAAAACCAATTCCAACCCTCTTAGTCATGGTGAAAAGCACCGCAGTTTCACCCAAGTAATCCAATCGCCAACTGCTACCTTGGTGACAAAGCCCAAACCTTTGCAGGTCCTCAAGAAGCGTGCTTCTTTCACTAAAAGAAATGGAAGCCGAATGGAAGCCCAAAAATTGATATATTAGGATATATTATATATTGTCCTGTGAAGCACTGAAGATGTCAGCCTTATAGAATTTGAATGAATTTGAGCCATAGTGTTCTAGCTGCAACAAACTTGTATAACACCCTCAACGACGTTGGACCAACGCCCTGTCAAAGCCCGCACGCCTCGTTGTGGACAATCCTCACCTGGCGGTTTGGACGAAAACCCGTTTGGGGACGCAATGGCGATAGGACACAAAACCTGGAGACCGAAACAAAGGTCTGTGCTGCACGCCACCTGTCTGTCAACAGGAGCATCTAAACAAGCACCAAACAAGGCCTCCTTTCAGGTGATTTCTAAAAGCTGACCGGAAGATTTGGAAAGCTTTCATGCTGAGAGTGATCAAGCATAAGTCTCCTTTCTGACCCCTGAATCCCGGGAATTGCTATGGTTTCATCATGTTTTATCATGTTTTCATCCGTGAAACCATCCCATCTTTGGATCCATGAAACGCTCAAACCCACTGGGCGCTGCGAGGCTCGCGGCTGCCGCACCTCGTCGCGAAGGTTCATCTGCAGTCGGCCTCGGCCAATCGCTGCACGCCGTGTTCGGCACCGAACGTGTTCGCGTGTTGCCTCCGGACAGATTGAAATGGAATGGGTGGTCAAAGATTCAGCTTCAAATCGATGCTATCCCTTCTGGACCCATACAGTTCGGTGGGATACCTCAGTTCGTGGGATTCCTTTTCCCATGTATCGCCTCCTGAGCCCGGCCTGTGGCCGGTCCTACACTCGCTCCAGGCCCACGTGGAACAGTTTGACCCTCGGGAGTTCCTGGTTTCATCAAATCGAGCCGATGCATCTTGGATGGACTCAGCGGGTGGGCGGGCCCAAGCTTCGGGGCATCCCTTTTTGCAATGTCTATAGAAGGGGGCTGAGGACACCTGTCGTCTGACGACATGTGTTTTGTCAACTCAACAATGAAGACGGTACCCGGTACCGCTTACGACACGTGTTTTCTGAAGCGATTCACACAGACACTTTGCGTTCTGATTTGAGTGCACAACTGCACAACCTTCGAATCTATGTCCAAGTCTTTTATATAAATGAGTGGGAGCAATCTTTGACATCGGTCTCTTCTCTTGTCACCGCAGTTGCATGCGGCCGCTGGGTTTTCTTAATCCTACCACGTCTGTCATGCGAGCAACCTTCGATTCATCAAGTTTCTAGTAGTTGATGGAAGTTCTTCCATGCAGAGCGTCGCTCCACGTTGAATTCTGAGCGCATGTTTGGAGGTCTTCGGTTCTCCCACGGCGAAAGAATTGACTTATGCTTTTCGGGGGATCACTGCATGTGACTGCATGAAACTGCATGTCGGGCCAGGGGGTCTCCCAAATCTACATCCGTATGAAGAATACCCTCGTCCGATGACGGCAGGCAGAAGTCCGGAAACCACTGGTCACAGATTCGAAAAACGCATTCATGTCGTTGATTCCACAAAAAGATCATAAACACACACCATACGAGAAATAGTATTGTGACTTGATGGTGAACAAACAAATAGGCTGTAATCCCAACAATTAAAAAAGAAACTCCAAACAGACTCAACCCAAAAACTCAAAACAAAACTAAACACAGACTTAACAATCTTAGCACACGCACACACATGACAGGATCAAACACTGCTCAACAAAAGCTCATAAAATCATCACAAAATACTCAAGGAGCAACTCAGAGGTATTGTTTGAGCCTTGGTTGAGTTTTGTTGGAGTTTGCTTCTCAGTCTGATTTTAGTATTTTTGGAGTATTTGGCAGAAAAACTCCAATCAGACTCAACTCAAGATAGACTCAAATCAGAGTCGAAAAGAATTCAAACCAAACTCAATATGTAGTTGTTCAGCTTTCCCCGAAATCTCCTTCCTTCGTCTCTCATTTGGGTTGATCCAGGCACTGTCTGGGATCATCCAGTCACTCGAACCCTAAAGACGCAGACTGGAACCCTTCGCCGTCCAAAGCGCACCGAATCGCCCGAACGAGTGGACCTCTTTCCGCATTCCTGCGACCTCTTTGGTACGATCCGTCGGAACCACAGCATGGGCGGAGGTTTTACATGTAGCCCGACGCTGGCAGAGTCGAAGCTACTAGCTTTTTGTGACCCTAGCTGGTTGCAAGGCTTGTTGATTTTGGTGGTTTTGGTACTTGAAGACTCTAGAAATGCCAAGTCACTGTTCTACAACAAATGCCATGAAGCTAGTATATGATACATTATAGATCTTATATCCTTCAGGGCCAATACATCAGAGGATTCTGGCATTGTCCAAAATGTCACTCGACTCCGTCAATATAGTAGTGGATCTCTACAAGGCTCAGTCGCCAAGCAGTCAGCTCGCAGAGCTAGCGACCAGTGCATTCGGACCCCGAGAAGAAATCATCGGCGGCCCGGGAGTTTCACAGGATGCACATGGTTGCCAGGATCCAGCACGAACCGCTGCGATTTAGCTCTCTGCACAATTACTTGGATTTCAATCACATTTACAGCTTCACCAGGCAGCAGGTAGCCACTCTCACCCAGAAATAGTACGTCTTGGCTTTTCGTGTTCCTACCTTTGCGCGGAGTATCTGCTTCTGGGCAAGGAAAGGAAAAGCCATACACAGTCATCGGTTTTTGTTTGAAGAGTACACCACGTTGAAACCAAATGCCAATGATTGGCCGCATCGCTCACAGTTAACTCTGAGTCAACCCAATCATTGCCTTTGGCCACCAATACCCTCGCGCAGGAGAGGCGAGTTGAGTAGTGAAGGTCAAATAAATGAGAAGAATATAGTGCAGACTTGACTCCATTGCCAAACCATTCGATCGGCAACATCCAAACAGAGGGAGAGGCTGATAGATCCGAGAAACTTCGAGTTTGGTTCACCCAAGAAATGGCAACGCCATGAGTCCTAAGGGGGAAGTCCATCAAAATGAAACGTGTGAGCATGCCCAACCCCTCCCCTTCGGAGCAAAGCTTGGAATGTGTTTGGCCCATAGAGAAAAGCTACCCGCTGCTGCTGCCGGGTCTGACATCTGTACCAAACACAGTCAGCGAGTGATTGCAGCCGGTCAGCCGAAATGGGGGGACGCCCGTGACCTCAGAAACGAACCAAGTGACGGCAGGACGAGGGAGAAAAAAGGAGCGGTGGACTCGTGTGAAGCACAAAAAAGCGACGAGGCTGGTCAGTGACATGTGTCAAGCTCAAGGCTTGGACAATGCAGCTGTTTACTTTCGATTCTCTCTCAGACTCGGGGTTGGGGGAGTTCTTTTCACACAAACTCTGGCAAATGAACTTAATGTATATACAGTATTTTAAAAACTTATATACTCCTATTCATGTGTATATATATATATTGTTGGTTTTATTCATGTTTATTTGTAGATCGTTCTTCAGCACATGAGTCAAAGAGCGAGGCCAGAAAACCACGCATGAAAGCTTTGCGCGTGAAAACCACGCGATCCGGATCCCCGGGCCTCGGGCCCCTGTCTTCGGCACGTGCCAAAAGAAAACGAATAAAAAATAAGGATCCTTCACCGCAGCAGAAATGCAGAAAATTCCTAGTCTATCTAGGCAAAGGCTTCCAAAATTCCTAGTTATCTACTGTACTTGTTGGTGGTCAAGTGCCACTTGAATCAAATGCGATGAGAAAGCTACCTCACCTGAATTGGACCAAGCCACATAAACGCCCCACCTGAAGAGCCGAAGTGACCAAGATGGGGAATGGAACCCTTCGGGTGGGGCTGCTATTCACAAATTGGAGACCATAGTCGCATCGTTTTCGATCTGGCCGTAGAGGTTAGACACAACATGTCTGGATTGTATGGGTCCAAGGGGTTCCCGGTTCGCTGACGGTTGGTGTTCCTCTCCAACACTCTGGACACAAATCATAAAAGATCAAGACTCCTGGTAGACTGTTCAGGAGGAGACTGCTTCAAGTGATTCAAACGTGGAGAAGAATGTGGCCGAAGAAAATCATGATACGGTGCGCCTAATGAACCAACATCACGCCATGCAAATCTTCCCCCAAGCGAAACGACCAGTTTATTGGGGTCCAAAAGGAGGAAGCGGGTGCCAACAAACTCTTCAGTGACCTTCGTGGTGTCTGCAGCCTGCAGCTGTCTCAAAACCAAGCTCCCAAAAAACCATGGACAGTGCCTCCGATGTTTATTGATCTCAGCGTGAAATCACACAAACCCAATAGGTTACCAACCAATTGATTACCAACAGGCCTGGCCTCGTTGGTTCAGAAAAAATAGAAACTCCCTCAATTGAGCCATCCCCACGCAATGTAACGCACAAAATCGTACGATCACGGCAGTCGGGTGGAAAAGGTGACTGGCAGTCGGGTGGCATCCCCGGGTCACGGTGTGACGTGGTTGTGTCACGCAACAACAATTTGAAGGTCCCCAATAAGCTGACAAACATTGCTATTTGGAGGGTCAAACTTTGAAAAAATGGCTGTGGTTGTGGTTGTTGTGGTTGTTGTTGTTGTTGCTGCTGCTGTTGTTGGTGTGTGCCAAGTGTGTGTGCGTCAAGCTTTGTGCCAAGAACTGGGCGCCTCAGCCACGACTAACTGGTGATGACTCCAACGGGGGTTGAGTCATTTGCGGAAGCCCGTGCAGTCCCAGGCGGAGTTGAGGACATGAGCCACTGGCAGGGCTATGACCCCTGCAGGACGGGCTACTGTTTGGTGGACGCACACCGTGCGTTTCATGTTCTTTTGTCCGTTCTCGTGCATGTCTTGATGTCTTGTGTTGTATGTATGTGCTAGATAGAGTTTTGTGTTGTGTTGTCATTGGGTGTGTGTGTGTGTGTCACACTCTGTTTCCAAGAGTTTTTGCACGCAGGGGGCCGGAGCCAGGTGGGGGGTCTCCGGCCAACGAAGACACCCCCCACCTGGGTGCAAACGTACCTGCGATCAACTGTTGTCCAAGCTGTTCTACTCTCTTTTTTGCTTTCATGGGGGTTTTCATGATACGTCCCCCAAACCAGGTTTCCATGCACGGCGTTAATTCGGTCTGCTAAGTAGTCAGTAACTATTTTCTGCAGTCACGCATCACGAGAAACACTTTTTTCAAACACCTTCAAATGATCGGACGCTTCACCTTGCCGTTGAGCCATTCTTTTGGTCGGGGAATTGAGCTAACTGAAAACCCAATGTCAAAGTGTGTGCCGCTCTGCCGTCCCACTTGGGTGCAGGGTGTGATCCCCGTCACTGGGGCGCTGTTTTCATGCCGGAGTCTCACTGTAACGGATTTTGCTGCTTTCCGCACACGTTGGATTATCTTAACCGACTTCGTTTCGCCACTGTATTCCCAAAATCCAAGCCGCCGGGCACCACGGTTTTTACGACCGCCGGGTATACGGAATGTCAAAGCCGCCAGGCATACGGAGAATGACCCCACACACAACCCCCCCCGGCGAGTTCTCTACTCCCCACCTAATCAGGGTAACAGAGGGAAATGGTACTCGACACACTTGTGTGTCGGTGCCTTCCCTCTGTTGTCCCTGTTCTAGTCTACTCTACCCGGGCGGTTTAAGACTAAAGTCCCGCTCCCTAACTATTGCACCTAATTAGTTTCTGCTAAGTAATCGGTAACTCTAGAGTGCTAAGTATTCAGACACACACACACATGGACATACACCCCCTCCCTGCCCCCCGCTTTCTTTCTTGCGTCTTTCGTCGTTTCTTGGGCTTTTTTTCAGGCTTTTTAGGTGGTTCTTGAGGCTCGTTTCCCTGCCCCAGTCAAGGGCTAAGTATTCACCTTTTGCTACAACTATCTTTGTCTCCTGCCCTTGTAGCGCTGCTCTTTCTGTTTTTCTTTCTGTCTTTTCTAAGGCTTTTTAGGTGCCTATTTAGGTTTTTGCGCCAGAGCGCCGCAAAGCGGCTGAGTGTGTGTGTCACACTCTGTTTCCAAGAGTTTTTACACGCAGGGGGCCGGAGCCAGGTGGGGGGTCTCCGGCCAACGAAGACACCCCCCACCTGGGTGCAAACGTACCTGCGATCAACTGTTGTCCAAGCTGTTCTACTCTCTTTTTTGCTTTCATGGGGGTTTTCATGATACGTCCCCCAAACCAGGTTTCCATGCACGGCGTTAATTCGGTCTGCTAAGTAATCAGTAACTAATTTTCTGCAGTCATGCATCACGAGAAACACTTTTTCAAACACCTTCAAGTGATCGGACGCTTCACCTTGCCGTTGAGCCATTCTTTTTCTTGGGGAATTGAGTTAACTGAAAACCCAATGTCAAAGTGTGTGTGTGTGTGTCGTTGTCTGTCATCGTCCTATTCCCTGGGTCCAGTGGATGATGATGGGGCCTGGTTGCAGGCCTTTGCCTGGAAATGGTGATGTTCTTGTTCACAGGTTCTGTTAGAGGTAAGATCAGACAGATCCAAATTATGTCTGTCAATGTTTTCTGTGTGCTGCCACATCGGGGCGCCTGGTGGGACCTACTCTAAAGTCTAGCTACCCCAATCCTGTCAGGTGGGAAACAGAGAACTATTGGGGGGTACAAGTCACCAAAGACGACCGGTTCAGCCATGCCCACTCTGGCCCTGGCCCACTCGTTGGTTTCAGAGTTCCCCCATAACATCACAACAGAGGCATCGGCGTTGCGCCTCTCTGTAAAAGCTGTACACCAGCGCGTGTGACCAGTGCAAACACCTCAGTTCATCCAGACCAGCTCTTCGATTGCCCAAAGGGCTTGAGGTATCCAACTGGAAGTTTGGGGTGTCTGGTGTCTTGGTCTCACACCATGGGCTTGTGCAAAAATCGGAACCACGGGAACCACTTCAACCAGCATTACCGCGAAGTCATGAGTCTAATCCTCCGACCCGGCGATTGCGCTGATCCGACCTGCATCGCCTCCGACCCGTGAGCGGCATGCGGGGGCAAATGTGGGCGGCATGCGGGTGACTCGCACCGTGGTCGGTGACTGTGCCGAGACTCGTGGGGACGTGTCTCGGCAACCAAGTGCAACTCAGTGCACCCTGTGCTGTATGTAAGCTTCGTGATGGTTAGATAGGCCAACGAACAACCAATACACTGATTCCGGCAAAAGGCCAAAGGATGCAAAAGGAAAAAATGGAAGCAAGTACCCCGGTCAATGCCTGCTGCTGTGTCAAATGAAAGCAAAACTGATCAAAACTGCTGTGTCATTGCAGCAGGTCCCATGCTTCTGGGCCACATCGTCCACCCCTGTATACCTGAAAACAAACTGAATACTGTAGTCCACGAAATGAAAATCCAATGGCCTTGGGTCTTTGGACTCCTCCGTCTCTTGCGAATCCAACGGTCCAAATATGGAAGAAACGGTGTCTTCCTCCTCTCTGGGCTCTGTGTGCTCGATTCGCCGAAGCCACGACGATGTCTGCACCGACCGTCGACCAAACGAAGATCGCTGGAACCCAAGGGCCCAACGCTTCGACTCGCTCCGACAGCTTCGAGCGCCAGGCGCTGGTCGGCGCTCGAAGCGGCGACAGGCGCTCGAAGCCTGCGCCGATTTCTGAGCTCTGGGCGAGACAAGACTTTTGCAGAGACAGCCTGGCTTCGCTCCGTCAGCGTGAATCGAACCAGGTCCTGGGGCAGGTGACTGGAAAAGCTGATCATTCCTGAAAGGTGTTCCAAGAAACCACCCTCCCCTCAAAGAAATATCCATTAATCGGCCAAAGCCCGCTGATGTGGTGATGTACCCTGGAGATCCTGGAGAAACCAAAGACTCCCAAGCCCATGCGGCACGCGGTCCACTCTGAGTGCCCACGCCGGTCTAAGACATGTTCATCTGGCGAGGAGAGGGGTCGAGGGATTGGAGGGGATGAGCCACTCGTGGGCTTTTGGAACATCTCTTGTCGGAGAAAATGGCTTGCAAAATGTTGGATTGGAGGACATTATGTATGTGATGACAATCCATCTCTCAACGGTCCTCTCCGAAGAAGCATGTTCAGTTGAAAAATAGATTCACAAATGTCCTCTCATGAACTTATACCCAAAAATAGAAATCAAAGTGTATCTGTATTGGAAGCCATGCAACCATCTATTCTATTTGGGGAGCTCGGGTCGACTGTGAGGCTCCTTTTTTTTCTGGTCGATCGTGGGGCTCACATCGAAAACCGGTGTCCTGGGCCACTTGGCCGGTGCTGACCCTCTCAGGAAAAAAGGGAAAACCGGGAGAACGCCCCCCCCTGAAAGAGAAAAGAATCATCTCCCCCTCAGCCAGACTCTAGTCGAACGCTGCTATATAGTTGACGTTGTTTTTTACAAAAGAGTGCAACCAATCGAGCCCAAGTTGTGAAGACTTGAAACTGAATGCTTGCCACTCAGGACTGGGTTCCCAGGGACATGTCATTGATCTGAATCTGGGCCATCAAAAAGATCACTCCAGGAGAACCAAATGCGCATTTGGGGGAGAATGTGGGTATCTGCAGTCTCCTCGACCCCACAAGCACGATGCGCGTTTCATGAAACATCCACCAAAACGATCTCATTGACCGAGCAGAGCAGCGATCAGAACAGGCCTTTGATATGTAGTTTTGGATATGCTTGAAGACTTCTCGCAGGTCCTTGCAACAAAGAGTCTGCATCTACGGGGGCGATGCTTTGCCAAACAAGTGCTTATATAGATGTAGTTGGTGATGAAGCACATGTCCTTCCTGCATTGGCCAAAACGAGCATTAAACAAAGGAGCCAGTCTCCTTCACAATGACATCAAAACTTGGAGAGGCTTGGGAGCTGGATTTCTAACTTGGAAACCTCCTGACTGCTCACCAGGATCAAACGTTCCAGGCTCCACATGCTATACATGAATCAACAAGTGTTTGCATTCTTCACAAAATTACCAAATCTATACCGATCCCCGAACATCTGGCTTGCCTGCAGCATGAACAAAACCCTCAAACCCAGGGAGTCGCTCGTCATCCTCAAGGTCAGCATCTCGCCCACGCATGCTGTTTTGTTCTCGGTGACAGACCTAAATCATCAACGTCCGAATTGTTGGGCACTTCCCCTGACAAAACCTGGCCCTTCACCAGTTCTGGTCCCTTCGGCTGAAGACCTTCGTCGCCTCCCCAACCCCGACACGGCGCTGTGTCCTCCTTGGCGCCGGGAGGCGCATCCCTGGACCGAGGGAGGTGGCTTCTGCTGATTCTGAGACCGGCTGATTCTGAGATGGTTAAAAACAGAATAACTTCACTCTGGGTGTATCCCCCGTCAAATGAACCAAGTCCTCCACTTTCGGGAGGTGAGCCGAACCCAAGCAGTTTCTAGGGTGAGGTGGATAGACCCACCTCACCAATTGCCAGGATCTCCTTGCCAATCCACCCTTGGCCCACCCTGCCGCTCTCTGCCTTGAAATGAATACTCATGGACCCAGCTGATCGAAAGTCATCTAAGGAACCAAACCACCAATGGCTTGCCACAACCTATTTGCATCTAGCATCATCTAGCATTATTTCAATCCAGAACCTTTGGCTCAATCAGCTCTCCTCCAGCTTAATCAGTGGACCTCCCACCACTTCCCATTCACATACGTTTTTAGCTTCTGAGATCGTCGTGACTCCAGAAAATGAACCATTTAGCTCGTTTTTGAACCGCTACAGTCCGGAATGTCAAGGCCAATGTGAACTTGACAAGAAAATTCACACAAATGCGAGTCCTGCAAAAAGACCTTCCGCAAAGTGCGTCCATCCGAGGCTACGAAGCGTTGTGAAATCTGTCTTCGCTCGCGCCAGCTCGTGCCAACAAATGTCGCCACACTCGCCTCGTCATGATCTGGTGTTCCACGCTTCGAATGGCCTCGTCGGACCCACATTCGCCCCGCTGGAAGGGATGGAAGGGATGAGGAGCTGATCGGGCAGTGGGTTGGAAATGCACATGATTTCAGAATAGATGTTACCCGAGGCACATTGGCACTGGAGGTGGTTTATAGAACTGGTCAGACCTGTTTTGTGGTGCCATCAGCCTGAGATGTATATAAATGGGTTGCAGAAGCACTCCATGCTACCTACCAAGAACTTAGCCCATGCCCACGGTTCATAGATGAAAGCAACAAACATGGTTTTTTCAAAAGCATACTTGGGAGTTAGTCCACTGCTTTGTCACACACCAGTGCCTCCAAAACAGAATCACCACAGCCCCTCAAAATATTGGATTACCACAAATAATGGAATGGCCCCTGCCAAGATAGAGAGCTCTTTAGTATCTATATATCTTTTGCAATGTGGTTTGATTTGTTTGTTTTATTCGATTAAGTGCGCCAGAGCAGCTTGAGAACTGTGTTTTAACATGTGCAAACCAACAGTTGGATCTCCCAAACAATCGGTGCAGACTGGCAGCTTCTGGCAGCGAGAAACAACACCTGCATTGATCTCAAAAACACATAAGACAGTGAAAAAACCGTAGGCCTTCTGTTAGAGGAAGGGAACTGTAGATGCCGATCTCATGACCCCCCCATGCCATTCTCCAAGCCTAATTCAATGTGTCTGGCAGCTTCCTTATTTCCCTAAGCAATCTATGGAATCGACTAAAGCCATGAAGAAAGCACGGTGGAATGGTGATTCAACCTTCCAAGCACCTTCCAAGGGAAAGTGATCAATACAAAGGGATGTTCTTTTTTCAACCAGGGAGATGCCCTGGCCCTCCTGGTCCTATTTCCTGGGTAGACTGGTCTATTTCCTGTCCTTCAACCCTGCCCTGTCATGGCTCCATCCATCGGTTTCTTCATGTTTCTTCCAACCCGGCCCTGCCTGGTAGAGCCTCTGGAGCTCAGCATCCCCACGGGCATGCTCCATAATCCGCTGCACCTGGCAACTGGCAGATCTTCGTGTTGAAAACCATTCCTTGTCCTATCTCTTCGGCGTACGTGCTATGTGGGTGAGTAGGGGAAAAAGGGGAGACCTCCGCAGGAAAATGACGCCCCCTTCCAAGACAGGGAAATAGACCGGTCTAGCCAATGCTTCGGGGTCTCCCTATTAACAAACACACCCCATGTGTGTCGGTCTAGGCAACAAATCGTTCGTTTCCTCCGCCTTCCCCGGGACGTGCCGGTCGACCCAGCAGCGTGCCGACTAATCGCGAGTCGTTCAGCGAGTCCAATCGCTGGGAAAAGCCATGGGCGAGCCGTTGGATTCCTTAATCCATAGAGGACAATGATTTGTTTAAAGGGCCATGTTCCACTTCGATGGTTTCAAGGGAGGGTAATCTGTCATTTTCGTCCGCTGGGGAGGCAGTTTTCTTGTCGCCATAGGCTGGAAGCTTCGAGTTCGGGGAGCTTTTTGTCCAGCTATCACACCGCTGGACAGTGGTTCGCAGAAAAGCGTTTGGGAAGTGGTGAGATGGTTGAAGCGGTCAGGCCGCGGCTTGAAGCGTTCAAGGCCGAACGAAGCTCTTCGTGGCTGATCCGACCGTCCAGACCCACGACGGGCCGTCCAAACGTCGTGGAAAGCGGACAAACCGGACCGGAAAACGGGCGGTGGACCTGGTCCAGTTCACACCTCAACCAAATGGTTCGTAGAACTTCTCAATGCTTTTGGTTTTTTGGGTTGCTGCGACCTATGTTTTTGATACCTCCATCCCTTCTGCCCACATTCCAGTCGCACATTCCAGCAACATGTCGGCATGCGTGGTTTCTCCACAATCAAATCACATGTCCTCCGCCATCGGTCACAGCCAATGCAGAGGGTCATCATGAGGTTTGCCGATGGTCATCCATGTTCATTCACGTTGAAAGCTCCATGACCTGGTTATATTCAGTGGATATGGAAGGCAACCATATACGACCCTCGATGTGCCCGGCATTGGCCGAGCTAGCATCTCACTTCGATGCCAAGGTGGGTGCCCTTCGGCCACCGCGTGGAAAAGGGCATCAGAAGTTGAGATTTCGAAGCCTGCCACCTAACTGGTCCCAGCTAGCTGATTGCCTCAAGCCAGGCACAGATGCAAAGCATCCATCACAACATGTCGTTTGGGCGACCTAGCCTAGCCCATCCAAAAAATGCACTTCAGCTAAAGATTACAGCCACTAAAAATCTTCCTGGCCTTGAAGCCATCTTCTAAAACTTGGTCTGCAAACCCAAAAGCGGACCATTCGTCCACTCACTCACTGGGCATCTGCGCAGCAAAGCACTGCGCCATGCTGGAGATCACGCGGTGCAGGCGCAGTCGGGGCGCCAAGACGCGAAACTCGTCGGGCAGCAGCTTGCCATCGCGGTCCAAGTCCTTGGTCCAGGTCGTGAAGGAGAAGGTGGTGTGATGAATAATCTTTGGGGTTCATGGTCTGTCTAGGTCCAAAAACAGATACAGTAAGTTTGGTAATTTTGTTGATTGCAAGTCCAAATCTGCGGGCAAGTAGGTTGGTCTTGGGATGTAGGAACTCCTGTGGTGCTCTTACTCTTTCCGCGCATTCCCATGGGATCTCAAACACATTTCCCACACCGCGAGCAAATGGTGGGGGCAAGCAGGAGAAGACTCGGTTGTGTTTTCCAGGTTTGGTGAAAATCCTGATGTTGTAGCCCGCTTGCACGGCATGGTCAATCTGCAAGTTGGACTTCCATGTTTTAAGTGTAACGACACGGGTCAAGAAAGTATCTTGTTTCTAGTGGTGAGGGGCCCAATGTCTCGGGCCGAGACAGTACATGCAGGAGTTCTCCTGGCTTGCTGCTGTCAAACACCAACCAACAAACATGGAATTGGAAAGCGGGCTGTCATTTGGAGGAAAAGAGTCTTCCAAAGGGCAGGTCAAGAAACTGTCAAGTTTCTTCCCGAAAGATGTGGTAAGATGTGGGAACGTTAGTGTCTTTTAGGACGTGCTATTGTCCAAGTCAGTTTAAGCCTTGGACTTGGAAATGACTTGTCTTTAGAGGCCACATCAGCTCTCAAAATCTGAGAGCTCTACCTTGCAAATCACAGCTATCCTTTCTTGAAGTGTTGGTATTTTCAAGTGCGTGAGCCATGAGTACTGAGGGTGTTTAAGCCGTCCATCAGCAGTAAGGAAGCGCCACGTGCACAATCCAAAGCAGAGACACTCTGCAAGAAACATAAAGAAACCCCAGTTAGCTGTAGTCTGTTGTCCTAGTCACACTAGTTACTGCCCCAGTGTCGCGTTCATGGCTCCCACCCATCACACACCCTGTGGGCTTTTGGGGTGCCCAAGCGTCCGCTTCCCGCAACCACTTCGCCGCCAGCTGCGCGGGCTCCAAGCGCCGCTCCCCGAAGAGCCCAAAGGGCCCTCGCGGTTCCTCAAGAGCCCAAGGGGGATGGAGTGCCCCGCATGTGGGGATGTCCCCTGGGATGTCTTCCGATTCGGAGCGAACACTTGCAAGAGCCCAGCCCCGAACAGCTCGGAGACCGACCGAACGCTTTTGACGAAGCAGTCAGTCTTTAAAAATACATACAAAAACATAAAACACAAAAATGAGCCGACATGGGTTGACCAGTCGGCCCCCGGTGACTCTCACGTCTTTGAATTCGGTCGACTGACATCTGACCGACCCCGTGGGTACCCCGATTCAGTCTGATGCAGATGGTGCCCCATCTCGAGGGCGATTCGTCTTCGTCGAACAGAGAAGAACGCAAGGGGGACAATTGGTTCAAATTGGTTCAATTTGATTCTTTGTCTTGAATTATATATATATATATGTTTGATCTCCCCTGGCATTGTGACTTGGCATCGAGATGCCTGCCGCGACCTCTATTGCTCCAGGCGTCCATCTGCAGTTCGGGCTCCAGCACTCCGTGCTCTACCGCGCGAGCCACCTATGGCAGACAACAAAATCCACTTTGCCATCCTCCTGTAACTTGCTTGATGTAACGTCTTGAACTAGTCTTCTGGTCAAACTGTACATGCTATATACAAGTATGCCTCAATACCTGAAACTGCAGGAATCTCTTAGTGCTGAACCTCTTAGCTCGAAGAAGGGCGTCCTCTGAGATTAAAGCTGGCGAGGTTCCCTCTCAACCCGCAAGAGAATATGTGTCTTCATCAAACCAAAGCCTTGGGCTCCCAATCTTTCACGACTCCCAACGACGAGACACCCATCGTCCCAGCTCCAGCGCCGTGACGTAGCCGTCCCCATCGCTGTCCGCCAGGCGGAACGCCAGCTCTGCCAGCTGGGGAGTGTCGAGTGGGGCGCCTCGCAGACGCTGCAGAACCGCGCGGACAGTCATTTGGATTCAGAGTGAGTGGATAATGTCGGTTGAAGACGTAGTTTGCACGGTGAGTCAGCTAGAGTTTTTGAATCCAGAAGAAACCTTCACCTTAGAGACTTAGAGGTGCATTCTTCAAGACGAAACTCCAGGCTGTGCATGATCGAACCGCTACTGGCCGACCGCTACTTGCCGAATGCGGACCCCTCAGGTGCCAACACTCTCCTGCCAAAGACTCCGAACCCAAAGGCATGACCTTTTGATTGCAGTGCTTGCATACAGCTGTGGCCCCTGGCAGCCAGAGCACGGGCAACGGCAACCCAATGGTAACATTACACTTAAGCTGCTGAAGCTTTGTGCCTGCCAGGGGGGGAGGGGAGTTTGAAGCCAGTTGCAAGTACCAACCCCACCGGTCAAAACGGCTGACACTGAAGAGCCACATGCCAAGTGTTTGAGCTAGCCACCGAAGTCCTCGCTGACGGTAAGGATACCACTTGTCATTTTCCAAGTGTTTCTCCCCCGGCGTGGTGCTTCCATCGCCACGACACGATCTCTCAAACCAGCCCTCGCCTCGCCTTGTACCGTGGCCAGGAGCAAAAGCGCCCCACGGAGGAACTCATGAGTTCCGATGTCGCCCGACGCATCAAAGTCCAGGACCCGGAAAAGACCAGGGACCATCAAGGAGCTGAGCTCTCCTTACAAAAGGCTACAAGTATACCTTTGAAGGCTTACATTTTTTGGATGGGAGTTTGATCGGGATTCATTTGGTTGTTTAAAATCTTTCTGGGAGGTTGATTCAGTTGATTTAGAGGGTGTAGGTGCTGGGAGGGGAGAAGTCCTGAGAAGGACCCATGCGAAGTGCATGCTACACATCATGTTCATTGAGACGCTTCAAGATTCAAACGCCCAGTGGCGGACGGCTTTCGCCCGGGCCACGGGCGAGCTCCTGGCATGGCCCGCGCCGATCGCCACGACCACGTGGCTGTGAATTTCCAAGGCCAGGTCGACCTAAGGCGCAATTTCGAATCCATCAGGCATCTTTCATCAGATGGCACAGGCTCATCATATAGTTTCCTTCAACAAATTTGTTCATCAAGGATTGAATATAACAATATAGTGTTCGAGATATCGAACCTCTTCTCTCCAAGCCCTCGTCAACCTTCCTGTCAGACCCTTCTGCCAAGTCCTATTCCTCGGCCACTTCGGCCACATGGACCACTTCAAGCTTACCTCAAACCTTAGAGTCTTATCTTTCTTCAAAAGAAGCAATCTACCTCTGCCACTTCGGCCATCTCGGCCACTTGAAGTGGCTGACGCGGCCCAATAAATCAAAAATAAATAGCGCACCTCCTGCGTGCCCAATGTGAGTGTGCGCTTTTGGAGGGTATGGGGAAATGGGTTTGGCAACGTCCTTCCACGCCTCAAAGCCGAAGCCTCCACGCATCTCCACGCCTCGGCACCTCGACGCCTCCACGCCTCGACGCTTGTCGGCTTGGTGGCTTGGACGCTTTGCGGCGTTGAAGCCTTGACGCCTCGAAGTTTGGACGCTCTTCGCAGCGCCTTAAAGCTTCGACGCTTGGCGGCTTGGACGCTTTGTGGCTTCGATCCCTCGACGCCTCGAAGCTAAGTGCAGTCCCCACGCCCGCTCACGCAGACGCCGCTCGCTCGCTGCAGTTTTCAAAACTTGACTAGTGACTGTGACTTGTCCCCAAATGTTAGCCGCGTGTCCCGCGGTCACATGCCCGTGCCTCCAGCGCTTGCATGGCGTACGCGTACGCCTTCGCTGCAAAGAGCGCCGTCCGCTGCCTGCAGGGCCCCACATTCGCCGGGTCGTTGAGGCGCGCGAGGAGCAGCGTCACCGCGTGGCGCACCTCCGTGTCGGTGCTCGGGTGCTGCTGGGTCGCGTCGAGAACTTGGCAGGCCGCCCGCAGCTCCGCTGCGAACGCTTCCGCCAAGTGCGGAAGGCCCGCGCGTTCCACGTCTGTCGCGACGTATGGCAGCGCCGTCGCCTCCTCCCGCACGGAACCTGCCAGCGTGCTCAGCCAGACACCCGGCCTGTTGCAGGCCTCATGGTTGTGCGCCGTCAGCCGCGAGCCAAGGCCGTCCAGGCTCAACAGCTCGCCGTCGCACGTCGCCCCACCGCGCCGCACGAACGCGCTGCCGTCGGCCCCGGGGTAGAGGGACGGAGGATGTCTGCGTGGAACCATTCCTGCAGCGCCACCGCTCGAGGGCCAACCCTTTGCCTTTCGGTGTGGCTGATGCCATCCTTGCCGCGCCTGCCCATGGCTTCTCGAAGCTTCCTTGGTGTTGCAGGTCGGCCGGACTAGCTTTTTGCACCAAAGCGCGCTGCACACCCACATTCAGTCACAGGCAGACGCTGTGCAGAGTCAACACGAGCAACCGTGTTCGACCAAGACTCGTCTTTCGTGGCCATTTTGGGACCACAGCCGTTGGCGCGCCGGCCTCGTTCCCGCAGTGTCTGGACTGGTCCACCTCAGCAGTTTGCGGTCGAATCAGGAAAATGCAAACGCTTTTCTACAAAACGGAAAGTTTTCTGTACAATGAGCACGGAAAATCGCTGCGGGCGTGTTGCGTAGACGACGTCTGTGCGTCTGTGCGTGTCTATATGAGTGTCAACCGTCTGTGTCTGGCTGTCTTACTCTGCTCAACCCCCGAAAAAAAGAGGGCAAAAAAGGATTCCACGTGTTTTGCCCAACAGTGCTGGGACCAGCTCTTAAGTCTTGAGGCACCTCCACCTGCAAAGCCACTTTGGGCGCGTTTAGCGACGAGCACGAAGGCCAAGCGCGAATATCCATGACATCATTTGGGGGTCTTTTAGCTTCCCCACGTCACATGTGCGACGTGGGTACTAGACCTGTCCGCCACGATGAGGCAGACCCCCTTCGGATGGGGATGTAACAACCACGCCTCGCAAAGGAAGAGCTTGCACGCGTCTTCGCTTCAGACCTTGGACCTTGCAACGTCGAATTTCGATTTGTTGCGCCGCCTCCCCTCGATTTGCGACATCGTGTCTCTTTCGTCGTTTTTGCCTTCTGGCGTTTGGGCGCACTTGCTGCGTCCTGCTCTTGTTTTACAACGGAGGACAATGTTGGGTTTCAGTCTCCTATGGCCCGTCGCCCACCGCATGGCTCCAAAACCTTGTGTTTGTGCACCGTTTTCCGGGGCGAGCCCGGCGCGCCGGACCCCTCAAACCAGGAAGCCGGAAAGTTTCCAAAGTGAAGCGCCCCGCTTGCAAAAAGCTTCTGGGGCCAAATCTTGCCACGCACCGTTTCGATGCAAAATCGCATCATTTCACCGCCGCCTTTAGGGCCCAAGCCAAAACGGCACGAAATCGAAAAACGCCGTTGAAAACGTAGCCCCATTGCAAGGCCACAATCGTGGATCGCCCCTCAGCGGTCGAAAATGTCTAGCTTCGGCGCGCAGCTCGCCTTTTCCCAACATGCTGGCACCAAAGCTCCGCGGCGATGTCGGAGAAAACTTTGGGCACCTGTGAAGCGTTCAGCAAATAAAGCCGCACGACGGCAAGCTTGTAGCACAAGACTTCGGACACTCAGGGGTCAGGGCAAAGCCTGAACAGCAATCCTAAGCACGCATGGGTACATGAAAGTTTGATGTGCTCACAGGCTGTTCAACGCTGCAACGCTGACTTTCCGTCTTGCGCGACTGCCTTTCCTCGGCTGACGGCGCTCACACGCACGCCCGCAATTAGGGGACATGTGAGAGTGGGAGCGTGAGGGCCTCGCGCAGACGTAGCTTCAACATGCTGCGGTTTTCTAGACTTTTAAAATCAGCATTGCAGCCCCCCAAATGCCATGGCCCAAATGCATGATGGAACAGGGCGGCTCTTTTTTGACCCAGACCAAGACCATCAGTGAAAAGGCAACACAAAGACTCACTACATTTCATACAGTGCTAAAAAATCTCTATTGCACCGGTATGGCCGCGGCGCAAAACGTGTTTGTCATTATGGCGATTGGTCCTCCAATCGCGACGGCAAGCGATGTAAGGCTCTATGACAATCATTTGCGTAATCTTTCATTGGCGATTATCCTAGCGTCAGCTTGCTACTTGAAAGCACCACTGCCACTATATACTTTAAAAATCGGTAGGGACCTTTGATCGTCCGTTTGAGGTGTGCAGGTGTAGCCAAACAAACACATACAAGAGGGCATGGGGGAAGTGAGTTGGTGACATCCTTCCACGCCTCCACGCATCTCCACACCTCAGCGCCTAATGCCTCCACGCCTCGAAGCCTCGACGCCTCCACGCCTCGACAGTTGTCGGCTTGGTGGCTTGGACGCTTGGCGGCTTTGAAGCCTCGACGCCTCAAAGCTTCGTTCCTCTGATTCTGATGCTGTGCACTGTGTGATAGCCGCTATAGAGCTCGATGTCGATCTTTTTGGGCTGCCCAGTTAGTGAAACGCATGGCATGGCCTCTGTAGCTTGTCGTAAGCACTTCTGCAATCAGTGATCAATCTTCCTGGCGTCTTTGGCGCCAGAGCACGTGGTGAGCGACCTTGTGGGATTTAGCCCGACATCTCTCCCCATTGAAAACTCAACAAGTAACAAATGTCTTCGGCATCGATGGGGCTGCATGGTCTTCTGACGCACCTGGAGCGTGACATACACGGTCTATTTTGGCAGACTGCCAGCACATGGGCAAAACTTTGGAGGGGCTTCCTTCATTGGGAGTGCCCTGAACTTTGGTTCTGGCCATGGGCGCTTCAACAGTCGAAGTATTAACCTCGCTCAAATACAAACGTAAGCAGAAAAACGAAACGCAACTTGACTGCAACGCCATGACAAAGCTCCCAGACCCCGCGAAGAGCGCTCTTCTCTTGGTGCTGGGCTTCTTCTTTCCTCCGTCTTCGTCTTTCAGCATGTATGAAACATGTTTTTGTCCTGCTGTAAAGTGAGAATTCATGTTGCTCAATTTGAACCCCACGTTGGGTAGGTTTGCCCTCTTCAAGCTCTCCCCACCAAATCTGGGATGCCTGCTTTTGCTCGCTTTCATCTCCTGCGAAAAAATAAAGTCGTGGACATGGCCTATGGCATGAACAGCTCCATGGGGTATACAGCAGCAGGGATTCGGGATACGGAAAACGACTGTCGGAATCAAAGGGTGCCTGACCAGTCCGTAACAAGACTTTCTAAATTTCGTGGCGCTTTCCTCCAGATGTCTTCTGTACACTCACGGCCTTGGAGGAAGGCTGCTGAAACGCTTTTCCAACATGTAACATGTCCATACTTGATGTTTTTTCGACTTTCCAACGTGTCCAGCATGTCCGCTTCGACACCTCCATGCCTCGAATCTTCGACGCTTGGCGGCCTGGACACTTTGCGGCTTCGAAGCCTCGACGCCTCCACGCATGGAAGCTTCGCGACGCCACGTGGCTTCGCGGCTTTGCGGCTTCGACGCGAGTGTGCGTTCACCCGAATGCCCGTGCAATGTTCTTTGACACACTCATTGTCATCGTACAAGCTCCCTCAGAAGTTTTTTGGGGATGGTGCTATTCACATACCTTACCCATCACATCTGTGAATTACAACAACCTCAGAGCCTTAGGCCTCAGATGGAACCTATCATTCTCAAGCTGATGCTCAGTTTCTCAAGCTGATGCTCAGTTTCATCACAAATCACCTGTGTGAATCACCGGAGAGAAAGATCTTCACGTGGGCTTCATCCATTGCCATTGCACATCTGTCGATTGACCAGTGAATACAGAGAAACCCCCATTTTGCTGGTGAGACAGGTGTTGTTTGGGGAATTACCACCGCAATTGGCAGAAACCATATTGAGGGTTTTGGCAGTCGTTTATATGTGTGAGGCGTGGCTGCCCATGGGACCATGGCAATGATATTTAGTGATTCCAAATGATGAACAATAGCATAGGAGTTTTTTCTTGTCTGCATACACCTGTTTCTTCTTGTAACTTTACAGCTTTGAAACAGAATCGTCCAACGGGGCAGCCACCACGCTGCCACGCCCTTTTCAAACCCGATCCCTCCTTCCAGCAAGCTCGCGCGGGCGCAAGCCCGTGGAACTCTGCAACTCAGCCACCATCTTATGCACCGCACAGTGGAACTCTTGAAGCGTCATCACCCCGGAGGCATCGGAGTAGCAGGCGAAGGTGAAGCGTCCCACGAGTTGAAAGAGTCCGAAGCACAGCGGACGCTGCAAGTCCTCGACAGACGGCCGCGGGTCACGCGTCTGTCTCGACAGACGGCCGCAAGGCGGTGGACGGTGGCGGTCATTGGCAAGAAAGAACCGCGGAAGCAACTTGAACCAACCCCTGCTTCAGTGAAAATGAAACGCAACGACCGGGTGCTGCCTGGTGTTGGCCCATCCCAATATGAGAGTATGAGTGCACACCAAGAAGGTGGGTGAGGTGTTTCAGGGTGTGGCACATTCTGCGAGTTGGAACTGGAAGGGATCCAAAGAAAGTCTAGCGGTTGGCTGCATCAAGCCGGCTGGCCCGAAAACCTGATTGCTTGCCCAGCCGGCTTGCTATTTCCCATTTCTCGCCGTGCTTGGAAAAACGAAGGCACGTGAAAGGAAAAGGGTGGCACCCGCAGTTCCGCGACAGCAGCCCAGATCTCTGCAGCAGAGAGCTTGTCGCCCCTATCCAGCGCGGTGATCTGCATCAGGTCCTGTCGGCTACTTGAACGTTCCATGCGAGTTCATCGGCTGGAGACTGGTGATGAAAAGAGTGTGACCCAAAAGAAGGTGATTGACCTGGTGATTGACCTTTTTGGACACGGAACGTTTAGTATGCTGCAGCGCGGGAGGTACTAAGTAGAGAAGGTATCCAAGAGACATGTTGACAAATATAGAGAGCAGGCGAGCGAGGGAGGGAGGGAGGGAGAATGTCTTACTTTCGAATTGTCGGCTGTTGGTTCGCACTAATGGGTCAATGGCCTTAAAATAAACCAGATCCTTGGAGAACCTGTTGTTCCTTGTCTCCGTCCCAGGGGTTGATGCACTGCAGCTTGTTCTGTCAATGAATCCACAAATTATTGATGATAGAATTTGGTGAATCTTCAGAAACGTGTCTTTTTCCTGTCCCCTCAACTCCAAGAATGGTTTTCCTCTTTTTCCAACAACTAGCCACAACTAGAGGCGCTGGCAGAGACAAAACCGAAGCTCGAAGCGCAAGGAGATCAACCCAAGCTCTCTAATGAAGACCCGAGCTCAAAATGCGAGAACAGTCCGAACTGAAAAAACAATATATTCTTTAAGTGAATGAACACCTCGGGCTGAACGCGAGGCTAGGCCGATCCCATCAAAACCGACATAAGTGTCCGTCCCGGATCAAATCAAGTCGGGGTGACCAAGCTGTGGCCCACTGAGTTTATATAGGCCAAGTTCTATCTTCCCTGACCAGGGGTCAAACTTTTGTCTGACTGAAGAGGCACACGCCTTTGAAAGATAAAAAAAATTACGAGAACCCATCCAAAACCTTGTGGTTGGGGGGGTAGGTAGCACAACACCGACCATGCACACCTGGTAACCATCGCTTCAGCGGTGCGCTCCTCATCCAACGCTTCACTTTCGGCGTCGCTCAGCGGTGCGCGCCGCCATACGTACCTCGCTCAGCGCGGTGGTCGCTGGTCGGAACTCCTTAGAGAAGGCCGGCCATAGCGGCCACTTTCTTTGGCAGCTTGGCAGCAGTACTCTTCAGCTGAGGAAAGCGTGACCGATCCAAGCTGGATGGTCCTGGATGGTGTGACGTTCAACGTTCTGTCTGTGCTTGTCTGTGCTTGTGACCGATCCAAGACTCCAAGTCTTGGAATGTCCAAGGTTTGAAGGCTTCAAGAGATTGCTACAGGACACGTCCAAGAGTTTTTACCATCCAACCAATTTTGCGGCAATGCCAGCCTCCGACTGCAGCCTACTCTGAGAGCACGGCAATGATCGTCAGAGGTCAGGGGGATTTCAAATCTGCTTGCCCGTCTAGCAAGTGGCTCTTGATCCCTCAAAGTCGTACCTGCTGACTTGCACTGCCTTGATGCTTGAAACATAGAAATCATTATAATCATTAGAAATCTACAGAGAATGAGATTGAAGTTGGCAGTTCCTCTATGAGGATGTCTTGTATCAGCGTCCACCTAGCTTCCCCAGGGTCAGTGCCCCTCTGTTCCAAGCAGTGGCTGCCGCTGCCCCCAACCACCCGCCGGCGCACGGGCACACCACCAGCCCAAAGACCGTAAGACCCACTGCGCCGCTGGCAGTGCAGCTAGCTCGCGCCGTGCGGAACGCCAACTGCCTCAGGCGCCTGGGCCGTTCAGAACGCTCACCGAGCGAAAGCGCGGTGGAAAGCGCAAAGCGGTGTCCGAACGGGTGTGGTCCAGATGTCTTCTCACATGGGTGCTGTGAAGGAATACGAGTCGTTCGAGTCATTGAGTTTCATGGAATTCTGCAATCTCCATGTAGCCCCTAATGCTTGGTAAGGTGAAATAGGTGAGTATATGGCAGTGAGAGCCTTGTCAGGGAGCTTTTGTTTCCACAAGAAGGGCTTGGTGGACTACCTTGGGGAAGACCATGAATCAACACCAGAGTCTTCTTTTGACTGTTTTATTGATCCACATTCGGCCACCAAGCCCCTTTGCTTGATGTCAGGTCAGCATGAAGCCATCCCTGCGGTCAAAATCCCTGCGGTCAGTCTTCATCCAATCCCATGTGGCCAAAAGCTGGCCAAAAACTTCCATGTCACCCATCAGCTCTACAGACTCTACAGATGTTTTCCTCGACCCCACCAACTCGAGTCTAAGCCCTCTTCAAGCGCACCCCGACAGCGTCAGTGTGACCGGCGTTGCTTCTGCCGCCACCGCCGCCGCCGCCGCTCGTGGCCCGAGGAGGCGCAGGGTGAGGGTCCGCCAGGGAAGGAGCGTGAGGCGCATGGCTCGCATCGTGGATGGTATCGTCGATCAACGAAGAAGAAATGGATGTGTATGTTGATTGGGAGACACCCTGGCCCTGGCTGGGTAGACTGGTCTATTTTCTTCCAGAGGTATTTGGGAGGTCTTCCTATTTTTATACTCAGCCAAATGGATCCAAATTGGCGTCTTGCCCCTCCCCCCAAAATGACTGGGATGTGGGGAAGATGCGACGTGGGGCTACTTGGGAGGTCCAGTTCCTCCCAAAAGCAGATGGCATTGTTCTTCAAGTACATCCAGTCAAGGCATTTGTGAATTGGCTCTATACGTAATACCAGATGCAAGGGATTTACACTACGTGTTTGGGGTTCTCTGTTGGCCTCTCCTTGAAAAAAGCACGCCCTGGCGTGTTGAATTTCGTTGCTTTCAGAATGATTCTTGGGCACTGCTATACATGTCGATACCACTGTTTCACCCCCGCAAAGAAGCCACGACATGTTCTTTCCGCAAAGGAAAAAGCCCTCCGACCGGATCACGTCCGTCCAGCTCGACCTCCGACCCGTCCCGTTCCGAATGGGCGGCTCGGCCGCTCGGGACTTGGTCCAAAATTCAACACCATTGCAGCTTGGGGGCAGCACTTGAGAGAGAGGACTTTCTCAATATACCATCCACTACCATCCATGTTTAATCCAACACTCATAATGTCAATGATGTCCTTCCTTCCATCAGTAGCTTGCAGGCATGGTGATTCAATCAATCAAGCAGTGGCCACCACGTAATTGCCGTAGGTGTTGGTACACATGGCGTAGAGCACTTCCGGCCTTGGTCGTCGTCGACTGAGACCGGGGTTCGCTGCGCCGAAGCGATCAGTCCGCTGCTGGGCGCAAACCATACTGCGAGGTAGCAACGAAAGCGAGGTCAATGAAATCAAGTGGATTGGAGGAGAGTGACACGCCACATGGTCTGCTTCTGTCAAAAGTTGGGCACCCCCCAGAAAGCTACAAGAGAGCCAGGGGAATGGCTGCACCTTGCATTTGCACCTTGCCATCTGAGTCTACTCCAGGAGACGCCTAGGTCCTCGCGGCCCCTAAGCCGAAGGCCACGGGTTTTCCGGAACCGGATCTACTCCGACTCCCGTTTGAATGTTGGAGCAAATCGGGTGCTTCGATCACTTATAGGGACAGTTCCAAGACCCTGACTGGGGACAAACCAATTGAAGGCTGACCAGAAACAGGCGACTGATATTCGCAAGGACATTAATGTAGACTCTTAATTTGTAAAAGCCCCCACATGAAGAGGTTTTGCCACCCAAATGGAGGGGGGTTATTAATCAAGAGTATACATGAATCGCTTTCTGCTTCACATGATCCTCCAGATACTGCTGACCAGCGTTTTTCCAACAAAAACATCCCATCTTTTGATGTCCACCGTTCACCATGGGACCTCGTTTTTCCCCCTAGGACCTCCGAAGTTTCGGCGGTTGGTCGTCCACCGGTCTGGGGTCCTCGGTGGTCGTTTTCACTGGGCGCGTCCCACACTTCTAGGACGGTCTGCAAGAGAGCTGCTCGCTCCTGGCCACCGAAACGTGCGGCGAGTCGGCCCTGAAGAGCGAGCCGAGCGGAGACGGCACGATTCTTGGAATCCGTGACGGGTGGAGCAGGGAAAACATCGATTTATGGCCAGTCTGTTGCTTTGGAGTGCGGTGCGACGTCAAAGAACATGCGGCTCATTGCTGTCATTTTAGATATACATTGTGTATATGTATATATATATATATGTTTTTGGTATAGCCTGTTGAGTGGGTGTGGAACATACCGCCCCAGCTGCCTTGCGCGCTGTAAAGGTCTGGGATCCTTTGACTTTGCAAAGGAGATGCCCAAAACATGGACCACCGGCGCAGTACGAGCATCACAATTTCGCAGTACGAGCTGCATCCTGTTCGATCATCCATGCAAATATCAGCTGTATGCATCGGCCTTCAAGCCCGTGATGGCAACTCGTTCGGCAAGCTGCGCGGAGGTCCGAAAACGGAAGAACGGGGGGACTTCGCCGGGACAACCGCGGGCGTTGACGCGGCCGAACAGAAGCCTTAGGGATGTTCTGCATCAGAACAGCCAGCATCCAGTTGGTCACATGGAATCAATGCCATGGACCTTGCGCTCTCCGACTGTGTTGGAACACATCCATCGGCCACTCGTGAAGAGTCACAGCCACTTGTCTGCCTCACAAGCTTGGACTTGCCTCCACCAGTCTCGAGACCTGTAAATGCTTAAGGCTATGAATAAAGGCTTAAAGCCTCCGCTTGGCCACAGCTGCAACCTCAGAAAACCACTGCCACATATCCACCCGTGGAGAGTTGAGATAGAAAATGATAGAAACATTTCTCCAAGGCTGCTTGGATTTCACATGATTCACCTAGAAGGGCTTGACTACAGCTGAGACAAGGTTCCTGATGTCCAGAAGTGTCCCCCAGCTCGCTGTGGTGATCTCGGCTAAGGTCCGTGTCTGCTCTTGAGCCCTCGTGTGGCAAAGCGGCTCACATCGCAGTGGCAAAGCATGCCAAAGCGGCTAAAAGCGGCTCAAGGCATGGCGCATTTGATCAGGATCCACCCACATTCTGATACATGTTCCAACTAAATGCTTACTTATATATTTTTTTTTTGTTTAATCCGAACTCCCCTCACGCTTGCGGTCCAACAACCAGACCTTTCGGAATGGATTTTTCAGAAGCAGGGCCGCGGATCTGCCCGAAGTTTCTACTCATAGCTTACAGCGGATCTCCTGAAACAGGGCTTCTACCTGTTTTCCACATCCTGGTCGATCACGCTAGCCGCGCGGTGGATCACGCGCCTGCTGAATGATCTCGCTATCTGCATGCTCGCCCACTGTGGCGATCTCAAAGCACTTCTCCACCACATTGCTCGAGTACTTCTCTCCTCGGTTTGCTGAGGACAAAAAAGGAATGTCTCCGGCAAGAAACAAATGCACAAAGAATCCAACAAAATCGTTTTCACATGGGACATTGCATTCCGTTAATGCAACCACTTTCAGGTACATTGGAAGAGAGCCACTTGAAGCAATTCCCGTCAATTCCCGTTCAGAGCGCGGTAAACATCTTGCTCCGGTCGACGCGACGACGCTCGGATTGAGCGGAAAAGTGACTGGAGAAGTCGGCAATGTTCTGCCGGATGGTCTGGATGATGCCTGAGGCATCTGCACAGATCTGAACGTACCCTTCCGCAGATCTGAACATAGGTCTATGTGAGATATTGGGAAGTCCATGGAAGTTCATCAACAGAAATACTTGACAATAGCCAATCCTTGAATAACCCTGGCAAGATTCAAGGAGATGAATCCATGGATGGGTACAGTAGCACCTGACCACACTGACCCAAGAGTGTCGTGCCACCGATGTCAAACGAGGAGCCATCTAATCAGCAAAACTCTTTATTACGAGGCATCCATCTAATCAGACTTTTAAAACTGTCACTGTCCCCGGAATGCTTCGGACGCTCGAAGGGAATCCCAAAAGGAACCGAATCCCGCTGGCTGTGGGTGGTCAAGTCACCAAGATCACCGGAATTGCCATGTCTAGCATGTTTGAGACTCATGGACATGGCCATGGCTGGCCAGACACAGGACTTCCGACACCTGCCGTTTCGGACGTCTCAAAAAAAAGAACGCGCTGGCTACACGAAATGTTCGTCGCTGGTCGGAGTGAGTTTGGAGCTTTGAAAAGTCATCCGGGGCTACTAGGAGCAAGGACGCTACTAGGGGCTCCTGGCATCGTTACTAGGAACAAGAAGCTACGAACGGGGCTCCTGGGAGGGCGCGCTATGTCGAACGGATCGCTGCAGAAGGGCCGGGCGGCACCCAAATACGCGAGGGACTTTGAGGGGTTGGACTATTTGTGACTCAAGAGGTAATCTCGGCACATGTCTCAAGTTTCGGGAGGTTCTTTTTTCTTCGCCATGGCAATTCGTCGCACACCACCATCTCAAGCAAAAAATCCCAAGGATGCCTCCCAAATCTCCAGACAGTGTCTCCAAATCTTCAGGTTGGTGTGGTGCCACCACTCCCAAAACGATACATGTTGACAAGCTCTACATACACGGATCCACTGTCAACGATGTTTTTCTTTGTGCGCGATTGGTGCTCCACACTCCTGTCCCTGCTCCGTGCTCCGTGCGGCGTTGTTTGTCTTCCTTGCGGCCATGCTCAAGCATGTGCTGAACCACCTCAGAGGAAGCAAAGGCACAAGGACCAAGCTGCTTGTGCACTTGGTGCTTCACCAAAGGGTTGTACTTAGCTCAGGACCCGCTTGTGAGAGGGCCGGGACCCAAAGGAAACGGACCGGCCTCACATGCCTGATGCTCTCTCTTCTCTTCGGAAGACCGTTCTCTGAGCTCACTGAGCTCCAGACATAGTTCCCATATGCATCCTTCGCCAGGACTGCCACGTTTTGCAGGATCTGCTCGAGCCTCGGCCAGGCGGCTAGCAAAAGTCTTTGGACTCTCGCTGGGGCGCTAACGTTGGGGGGGTTGAACAGCGTTCTATTTTAACAGCGCAAACGATGGATTTTGTTGCTCAAAACTGCCCTCCAAGCCACAAGTCTTCAAAAAGCAATGAAGGGTGTGGGGAAGATGCCAACAAAAACGGTTGTCTGATCTATATAACTAGTTCATACCAAGACAAAACGACTGAAGAAGTCCCATGCGCAAAAGATGTTCCCAAATTCTCCCTGAAAATGTATGTACCTTCCACTTCTGGATATCTGACGTTGTCTGACCATTTACAATCTATCAGGTGGGATGGTCACACGTTGTGAAAGTGGAATCATTGCTGGGTGGTGAGCCCCCCCATCTCAAACCTGTAAATTACCAGCTAACAAGTTAACACAAAATCAACACCCCAAACGGAAGGTCATGGGGTCAACTGACCAACACAAAGCATATGAAAGGCCAGGCGGCCAGCCCTGAGCACGGCAGAACCAGTTCCCTACAGCCTCTCGAACCCCCCCCCGCTCAACCTCTTCTTACTCAAGAATCCCTGCAATCCTGTGTCCAACTGCCCTCCCTCCGTCTGCGGCTGAAGCTCATAGGCTTCAGTTGCTCAGAGACGCAGTGCTCAAGGAGCCGTTGGATCACGCGGCAACCATACCTCCCGCTCCCGCGGAAGTGCGCGGAGACTGAGCTGGGGACCAGCTCGCAAAGAAGTCACCAGGTTGAATAGGTTTATGGTCTATAGTGGGGAGTGGGAGGGTGAAACAAGACCTGGCACTACAGAACTGCAAGTGAAGTAGACTCATCTTGGATTCTTCACAGTGCGAATCCCACCAGCGGTCACTAGCTTTGGAACCTTGCTCATGGCCTCCCGGTGGTTTGCGAAACAATCCTCTTAACCGTGGCAACTCTGCCCTGCGGACAGCTTCACCTCCTCCGAGCATCGCCCGTAGATGATCTGAACACAACGGCCCCTACCAGCCCATGTTAGATGTGGTTTTAAAAAAAAATATTAATAATAATAAACAAAACACACATCTGTTCACCAAGAAGCAAAGATATTTGGCACCTGGGACATGATGTGGGTGTAGGCTATACTGTAGGTCAAAGATCAATCGCAAGGCTTATGCTTAAAAAATAGACTGGACTCACCCAATCTGTGGTGATTTTTGCAGAGGGAAGAGCGTTCCATCTCCAACTTCAAGATGCTTGTTTGATTACAGTAGTTGCCTGTGACTCAGTGTTCTTAAATCCTTCTGTTCTATCTTGGGCTCTTCACCAAACGCGCCCAGACAGACCTGACCACAGAACGGGCCACCCCGTGACGACAGGAATCTAAGCCTAAGCTCCCCGACACGTGTCGCGCGGTCTCTTCTGCTCGCTGCTCCACCTGGCAGAGAAACAGCTAGGCTATACTCCCCCAAACTAGCACAGGAACCCTTTTTTTTAACCCCCCAACCATGGATAGCTGGAGGGTGGAAGACACCATGGAGAGGGTGTTTTGTAGATTACTCTTCGGCTCACTAACATGGAAGTGGAAAAGCCACCTGTTCGAAGACAGGAAAGCCATCTTCCTTTCGGCCAACTGTTGGGGGAGCGTCCTATGGACTCCAGCGGGCCCGCGAAATCTGTCTCGGACACCAAGAGCCCAGTGACAAAAAGAAAACAGAGCGCCGTGAGTTTGCCGTCTTACGGATGGTCAATTGCTTTGGTCGGATCATTGACATGGTGGAAATGCAAATGATGCACGTCATGGAGGATTGGAAGCTATATTGAGGCCGGTTTCGAGTTTCGAGGGCCTATGTTTATTTAGTCATGGGAAAACTTGTCGACAGGTTGATGTGCAAGGCTCTGTACAGTGGTTCCAGATACGGACGGATGAGAACCAGACTCCAAAAGGCGCTTCCGACTGCGTAGTTTGTTTTTGCAAAACATGTACATCATAGGGACAAACCCATAAATGGGAACCACAAGCAGTGCCCGCAAAAAGGTCGAACACTCTTGAAGAGCAACTACATGTGGAACGTCAAAATAGAAAAACAGATGTGTGTGTGTGTGTGCTCTTTTGCCACATCTCCCATGCTCACATCCTTGCAGGTTCCATGTCGTTCTTTCGGATGAGTGGCGTGCAAACACGGCGGTTTCACTGCACGGTCTCGGTCCGTTCTGCGCGCGTCGCTTCGGGTCCGAGCGCCGACCGCTCGGATGATGAAGTTCACCGAGTCGGGAGGCATCTGCTCGATGCACTTTTGGATCACCTGGAGGGGAGGTGATGAGGATTCCAAGGAGAATGAAGATTCCTTTTGAAGACAACAGGTCGCCCTACTGCAGGACAAGAGGAAAAACGAGCAAGCTATCTAACCCCAAAGACCCCATGTCTTTGGTGTAACGGCCATACGGGCCCCTGGGAGGCGTTTGTTTTATCTTTAGTTGTTGACTGTGCTTTCATTGACAAACATGTTTATGTTCACTCACATGCGTTGGGGGCAGTGGCGTTCGTTCGTTCGTTGGTTTGTTGAAGAAGATGATTGTCATCTTTGGCACCCAGCAGCTGGATCGGCTGTGGCCGTGGATGAAGAAGTTCATCCCGGAAAGCAAGAACCGATCCAAAGGCTTGGTGAATCCAAGGCTGTGGAAAAGAGTTTACCAGTGGATATATATATACCCACAAAGAGCGAAATGCTTGAAATCTGAAAAAAAAGATTCGAGTACACTTTTGGGGGAATGTCACAACACGAAATCTGCATTTCGTGCGTGCCTGCCCATACAAATACGGGAGGCCCGAAAGGACGTGAAACGATGTCTTTCGGCATTTATCTGGTTTGGATGGTTCTCCTTGACTAGCGGTGCCTTCCCAAATCAAACATCAGTCCATGTTCTTTCCAGGCAGGTTATGAAACCATCTGACCCACCCAATCTGGCCGTGCAATGCTCCGCACGCATGACCAAGGTCTTGGACAACTCCCAAACGAGGTCTGAGAAGTCTAGTCTGGCCTTCGAACCCACCCAGCAGGGCTTGGCTGAAACTCAAGCAGTCTTAAAACATCCAACTCGCGAAGGTCTTCATGACAAACACTCTTCAACTTCAAGACCTCCACGTCTCGATGACTTCTCAAAGTTCGCACCTCTCCGGAACAGTGGGAAGTCTGACCCAAGGCAACAGACGAATCAACCCCACCGTTAACTTTAGATTTCGAGTGGGCCAAAACCTTGACGTCCCCACTAAAGAATATCGCCGAACTCTGAAGAAAAGAACATGTTGTTCAAAAGTCGAACGTTGTGGATTGCTCTGAGTTTTGTCCCGAAAAAATCCGAAAAAATGTGTTTGTTAAGACAAGGGAATCGATCGACGATTATCCGGTGTCTCTATGCAAAATGGACCTGGGTGGAGGTCGCAGAACAGTCAAGACCCCCCAAATCTAGCAGACAGACAGAGACAGGACCAGACAGACCACGCAGATCAGACACACCAAACAAACAAACCAAACAACATAAATTGGAAAACAAACCAAAACAAAACAAAACAGACAGACAAACAGACAGACCAGCCAAACAAAACAACCCAAAACAGACAGCCAGGCAGATCAACCAAAGAAAACAAACCCAAACAATCAAACAGACAAACAGACAGACCAACCAAACCAAACCGAGCCAAACCAAACAAACAGACAGACCAACTAAACCAAACAAAACAAACAGACAGACAAACAAACCAAAACAAACGGGCACACAGACAGACAGACCGACAGACAGACTGACTGACTGACTGACATACAGACAGACAGACAGACTTACCAGACAGGACAGACAGACGCAGACCAACCAAACCGACAGAAAATGGTCTCCGCCCATCCGCTTCAGTGCGCCCAGCTGCGTGGTTGCCATGCATGTTCCTGAGCGACCCCGGTCGACGCCAAGGGCCGATGGGCCCAGGTTGATCCCAGAACCGGTGGGTGCAACGATGTCCTTTTGGGCATGACACGGGGGCCGATTCAGTACCATAACCTATTCGTTGTCCACTCGATCAATCAACCAAAAACCCGCCCGTGCCGAAGGTGCCGAGGGCTTGATGGAGGCTTGGGGCAATAGCAATTGCAAGAATATATATATACACATATAATATAGGGGCGGTGCCTTTTTTTTCGAGAAATGCTGTGCTTTACAGTGTTTTTGGATGTTAAAAATTGTACCAAACAATGGCGATGCCAAATACGCCGCCCGGTAGAAACCGCATTATCGACATCGCGGACGCATGGGAGATCGCAATATCGATATCGTGGATGTCTGCATGCGTGCATGTCTGTATGCATGGATGAATGTCTCTGTCTGTATGTGTGTGTATGAGGTCTTGTGGGGGGAAACAACAATTTGGTGGAGGGCTCTGTGGGAGAAACAATCAGTAGCGCCAGGCGGGTGTCCACGAGTTGCTGAGGAACCATCTCACACATTCTCTATGTCTGTCTGTCTGTTTGTACCTACATCCGAATTTTCCCTTTGATCCCTGCACGGCTTCGACCGCGAAGCGGTGTGAATATTGAACAGGTCCACAGGGATCACCTTGAGTTCTGCCTCTCATTTCCTTTCTCACATGAGATCCATTAGCTGTGAGTGCAAAAATCGGATGCAAAGGGCCCTCGTTACCCTGCCCTGCAATCGAACCCATTACTTCCTGCACCTTGACGCTCTTCCACTCAACCCAAAGCACCAGCACCAACACCGCCGCCGCCAACAACGCCAGCCAATCCAACCAGTGCCACCAACAGCACCACCACCACCACCACCACCAGCACCACCACCGCTAGCACCACCACCAGTACCACCAGCACCGCCAACACCACCACTACTAGCACCAGCACCAGCACCACAACCAGTAGCAGCAGCACCACCACCACCACCACGACCACCACCACCGCCACCACCACCACTCGCAAAAGCTAAGTTAGGGGCGCCTGTGACAACATCCGGTTTGGTGTTCGAATTGTCATCTTGTCGGCCAAGGCACAAGCACCCAATTAATTACCAACGCAGATTCAACCCTGGTGTGCTTCAACCAGGGGTTTGGGTTCTGAGTTCCGCCAACACCATCATCAATAGCACCAGCACCACCAGCACCACCCACCACCACCACCAACCCACCACCACCACTGGTCAGCACCACCAGCACTACCCACCACCACCGCCGGTAACTGGCACCAACACCATCAGCACCCACCACCACCACCACCAGCAGCACCACCACAACTTCAGCACCAGCACTACAACCACCACCACTAGCATCAGCACCACTATCACCACTGGTACAACCACAACTAACACCATCCCACATGCTTGACCCAGTGACCGGATACAATCGTCCACGTGATCCTCCAACTCCCGGGAGATCTGCTGCTGTGACTCCTTGGACACCGCGTTGATCGCCTCGAAAAAAACTGCTCCAGGCATCTCCAGGCATCTGAAAGGGGTTGCGGTCTGCACTTTCCGAAGCGTGAAATCCGCGCTCAGTGTGTCTAAGGCTATATGATATGAAGACTCTTGGAAGAAGAGGGGGATCCACAAGGGAGAAGTTGGTCCATCAACCATCATCAACCACCAGTCTTTGCTGATGTCGATTTCGATGTAAATGTGAAGAATCATGAAGAATCACTCAACTTGAGGTGATCTGATGTTTTGTCTCTTTCACCAGGAGGAGCGTTCATCTCTTGAAATCAACCAAGAACCTCACGAAGGAACCACGTTCGTGGCGCCTGGCCTTCTGGATCACCCGGCAACCGCACTGGTCCTGTCCGGGACAGGACAGCGAGGTGAGCTGACCAGCTACTGGAGGTTTGGTGGGTGGAGTTGTGTTCCATTGCTTGAGAGAGACTGCGAGGCCACAGCCAAGCAGCATCGGCATAGAAACCCAGAAAACGATGAGACCTTGAGAAAATCACGACCTTCAATCCATGCTACTCCTGAAAAGTTCTCCTCTAGAAGCAGCAAAGCTCCACGTGGTTTTGGCTTTGCACATTCTCCACGCAGGTCTTTGACGTGCTTTCTTTTTGGCCCACCTGGCTGAGCTTGGCCACATGGCCCTGCAGGGCAGCAACCATGGCCTGTCAGATCGACCATTCGACTGGTGTCCGATCGACCACTCGAGATCTGGATAAGGACCACGTCGATCAAGAAAAAATGCGAGGGTCTGAGTCTGAATACTGGGCAATGACTGCATAAATGAGTATCTCTGGCTAGCCATGCTTCACCAATTGTCTTCTGGGGCGATACCAGTGTGTTTCTGTGGTCCCTTGTGAGCATTGCCCAAAGGCTCAAAGATACAGGGTGTGGACAGTGTAGACTGTCATCTCCTCCCACACTGCTGAGCCCTTCTGGCCTTCTTTTGCCTTGGCTAGCCATGGGAACTGACAGGGAGAAACAGCGACATGAAGCATCTCCCTGAAGACAAAGCTACATCATGGCAAAAGCTCATTCAAATTATAGTCAATAAATATATATATATATATTACAATATCTCCATGTACCCCTATATCAAACCATATAGGATCCTGGAAGTGGATCTACATAAAACCCCTGCGCAGCCGCACTGGCTAACCCGCCCAAGCATTTCAGGAGGTCCCAAGAGGGGGCAGGGGACCTAATAGTCAATCCTGTCGCTAAAGATCACACCCTTTCTCCTATAGAGGTGTGTATGTCTGAAAGGAGTCTCTAGAGGGGTGGATCCCCTTTCTCCTTGAAGCCCCGCCCCTCTCGCTGGGCTGGGTAGACTCCTGGTCTCTTTTCCGAAGCGGTCGGGGGTCGGGGGAACTCCAAGGACCGTCCGGCGAGGCGAAGAAACGGCCCAGTGGCTGAGCATCTGCCGAGTCAAAGACCTTCTGCACCTCATGGCATTGACTGGCAGTTTCAGGGTGAAAGCAAAAGCAGAAGCAGCAGCTCAAGAGGTGATTGGCTCAGAATCAACATCTGAATGAGCCCGCAAGTCTTGATCCACTTCCGTCTTGTGCGGGGCAAAATACAAACAAAAAAAGGAAGCTGCATCTTTTCACGCTGGGGCTGAGCTTGGAGGACTTGCAGGATGGGGCTGGGCTTGGAGGACTTGCAGGATGGTGTTGGATGAAGTTGGTCAAGTCAATCACATACCCCATTACGCTCCTCCAGGACATCTGCCGAGTCCTTCCGAGTCGACCCGGACGCTTCCACACCCACCCCACCGAGTCGACCCAACCGAGCTCCCCGACGAGGTGGTTGCCATACGGATCCCGCGCCAGGTCGGGTGCCTCTTCTCGGATGGCCTCGCCGGACGCGCTGCCGGTGCGGCCGGTGCGCTGCCGGTGCGTTCAGAAAATGGTAACAATTCAGTCATAACTCCAGACCCAAGTAGTATTTGGACGAAGTATAAAACTGGTGTTTTTTACACAAACCGAAGTCCCACGCAGCATTCCCCCCCGGCAGTGCCAGGCTTGCAAACACACGGACCAGTCGCACCCACTGGGCTTTCCGGCACTATAAACCAGTTGCTTGCTCTCCTCTCGAGCCTCGCGTTGCGTTCCGAGTCACTCGGAACCGAAAACGCACCCAGGTCGAGTCCGGGCGCCCTGAGTCCGACTGCTTTCACACACATCGCACGGGTGTGGAGACCTCGAGCCCACGAAAACCCCTTGCGACCTGAGCCGGGGATGAATGTAAAGATCTAAGTGACAAGTGATGGAGGTATGACACCTGAAAAATCGTGGCAACCAGAGTTAAATCCTGACACGACACCGGGAACACCACCGTATGGAGTAAAACCACGCGGGACGTGGTTTTAGTGAAACAGGTGAAGACAAGATATCTAATTCACAGAGGCGTTCATTCGCATTTGTCAAGAAGAGAGTCAAGTGATTTTGTCGAAGCCTACAGCCATACGAGCAACGCTTTGACTTTGGCCTCGCTTCGCAAAGTCCCATTAGACAATTGAAGTTTCTTGGCCTAGAGGATAGAATAGTGTCAGGCGAAAAGGAACGAAGAGAGTGGGAGGTTCCTTCCGCGCGGGCATAGGCGAATACTGTTTAGTTTCAATATCTCAAATCTCAAGTACTTCCTTCTGACAAGGACAGAGAGGTCTGCGAGATGCACCACCTGCGCATTTTGTAAAAGACTAGTGACTAGTACACCACGATTTGGGATATATAATTGGGGATACTGTGATGTCATTTTGCTGAGGTGCTGTTTTCCTGTACAAACCACTGGTTTTCAGGGACCCTCCCTGTTAGTTTTCAGCGGGGTATCACGGTACGCTTGCAGAGACTTGGGGATTGGTCAAAAATGCTCGAAACTTGTAGCCCTGGCCCACTTGACCTTCCAGGTGTATAGATCAACCAACGTCTCGTGGTGCCAGGACCAGCGGCCACTTGTCAATACACGTTCAGACTTGTATGTATATATATATATGTACAGTACGTGTTTGATCATGTTTGTGCATGTGAGAGACTTTTCAGTACGTGGTATCCATGTCAATGTCTCGATACATGCTCAAATGCTGGGACCAGCAGAAAGAGTGAACGTCTCTACGTGTGCCTACATCACGCCTGGCCAGCCTGGAATATGTGTGTGTGTGTCTGCACGTGTTGTTAGTTGTACCGAATATCTGTAAACCTGTAGCCCTGTAGTTTCAGGATTGCAACTACCATCGTTTGAAACTTTGTAGAAACAAGTGCAACCAATAAGCTGCGTATCATCATGATCTGTCTTGATCTCACGAACTATCCGACAAATATAGGACTGAATCGAATTAGCTGGTTAGGGCCACGCCCGCTTTGTTCAATCTCCCTTATGTCTACGTGGCATGTCCCGCTTGGTTCCAGTGTGACTCACCCATTCGTTCAGAAGCCCGGACATTCCGGTCTTAACAGATTCGATCGGTCAACCCGTCAGAGTATCTCCTATGTCTTGGAGATGTAGCATCCAACCTCCACGTCTGATTCAGGCGTGGAGGGCTATTCTTCATGTATGTTGATTGTTTGCAAATCAAGTCTTCATAACTGATTTGAGGGCCGGGCATCCCCAGAAAAAGTCCGGACAGTGGTCACTGAAACAATGTTTAAGTTGGGCAAGTCCAAGTCTTCACCAATGCCCTTTCAGACCTTCATAGTTCTTGTTTTCATGCTTACTTCCACAAAACTCTATGTAAAGAATCTCATACTAAGCCGCTGAGCCTGGCCGAATTCCCTCGAATCCGGACTCGCGCAGAGCCTCGTCAAGTTTCGATTGGAGGTACCGGGTGCCGTATTGGTCCTCCACCCCGTTCGCTCCGTTTCGCGGCGTTTGAAGCGGCTGGGGAAGTGAACAGGGACTGGAGTTCGGGAAATGTTTTTGACCAACACAGAATGGCAAAAGTAAAAAAAGACAGCACCTAGATGAGACGACGGCAGAGAAAGCTGCAGGATTATAGCAGTTCGTGTCTACCATGCGTGAACTAGACTAGTTTTGTTCATCCACCAAAGAGGAAGAGTGCGAGATATAAGAAATTGAAGGTCAATCCTGATCAGCAGCTCTGTACCTACAGGAGATTGGGTGTACCTCGATACAATAGAGTATCTCAGGTGATTAATTGATGCTAATTGTGATTTCATTCATCGAGACTATCCGCTCCTCTATCAATGCTTGCATGGTAGTAGTCTCACCTACTGAGACTGAGACCTCCCTGCCAACAAACCAGACTTTGCCCGCAAAAAGCAGCCCTGCGCGGCTCCTTTGCGAATTCCGACACCAGGTTCTCCTGGCTGGAATTTGATCCCTAGCCCTCCTGACAAGGCTCTTATTGCTGGGAAGGCAGCGATAACTAGACGACGGATGGCCCATCGTAAAGGAATGGTGTGGAGTTACTCTGGTGTTTGGTTTGCCTTGCTTGCATTAGGATGAAACAGTAAACTAAAGAGAGTTGTGAGATGGTGAGAGGGAAAGTCAAAGAGAGGGTGAGAAAAGGAACTGAAAAGTATGTTACGCGGAGGAGGAAAGCAAAGATGTTTTCCAGTCGAGTTCATGCAAGATTGCATGCAATGCTGCAGTCTTGCCCCAAAGATGTCTTCCAGTCGATGTTTACTGCCCAACGATGTTTCCAGTTGACGCTTCTACAGGCTTGCGTGCATGTTCGGCAAAAAATAGTGCAGTCAGGCCCTGCCTCGAAAATGTTTTCAATGCGATGCTTTATGCAGGCTTATGTGTCTTATGAAAAAATGCGTGGGTGCAGTTCCTGCCCAAGCGACTTCCCGCACTACATTTGCACTACAAAGTTGCCAGTTCTGAGGCCACAGCTCCCCGAACCACTTCCCGCACTTCGTTGGCACTACAAAGTTACCAGCTCTGAGGCCAACTGCCGTCGAAATGAAGGTGGAAGTTGCCAAAGCGTGCAATTGTCTTCGGAATGAAGGTGAATGTAGTCCAAATGTAATGCCAGCGGCAGCTTCTGGGACACACTTTGTCAACGTCCACCTTCGCTTTCGACAACAGGCACGCACTTTGGCAGCATCCACCTTCTTTTTCGACGACAGTTGCACACTTTCGCATCTTCTGCCCCCTTCCACCTTCATTTTCGACGACAGACACACTGTGGCAACTTCCACCTTGACTTTCGATGACAGTTACACACTTTGGCAACTCCACGCGCGCGATCTCCGCAAAGGCCGACCTCACCAAGAAATCGCATTCTGGAGCATCCAACATGCACGATCCCCGGCTTTTGACACTTGACCCTCATTTCGTGCGAGAGGGTTGCCGCGGAAGTTTCAGAATCACAATATTCCCGCAGTTTTCGACACTTCACATGCATTTTGTGCGAGACGGTTGCGTTTCGTGGTGACTCGCCGGCACCACCTAAGAAAGAAAGATAATATTAGCGAAAGAGAAGAAGAGAGAGAGAGAGAGAGAGAAAAAAAAATGAAATAAAGATATAAAAAAATATATAGCAATATAGTTATAAACAAAGAAAGAAAAAAATAATGAAAGAAAGGAAGAAAGAAAGAAAGAAAAGGAAATGAAAGGAAAAGAAACGAAAGGGAAGGAAAGGAAAAGACAAGAAAAGAAAAGAAAGAAAGAAAAGAAAAGAAAAGGAAAGGAAAAGAAAAGAAAGGAGGAAGAGAGAGGGAGAAAGAAAGAAGAGAGAGGGAGAAAGAAACAAGAGAGAGAGAGAGAGAGAAAGCAAGAAGGGAGGAGAGGGAGAGGGAGAGGGAGAGAGAGAGAGAGATAGGTGAAGATGTGCAGATTTGAAGATGTGAAGATGTACTGGCGTGGAATATGCAATTCTGGATATGTGCGCATGTCAGTTGTGATGATATGTAATGCACCTGTTTTTTAAGAAGAATCCTTGGCTCAGGCGCTCTCGGGAAAAAGAAGTGAATAAACACTGCAAGAAATCTGCGGATCACCTGGCGATCTCCCAACCGGGCAAGCTCTCACTCCCATATACTCCCATCACATCACGCGCCTGAAGTATCTCGTCTAGAGGCACATCTCTCAGCTGCCTTCTCACCTGCCAAGCCGTGTTTCAACAAAATCAATCAAAATCAAACATCTAGAACGCGCCAAGTGGGCTCAAAAGAAAAAAATAGTGCACCAGGTGAAACAGACTCCCTATTGGCTTTGGTGAATGGCGGTCGCAATGACGGTCAAATGGATCGGCCTGGTTAAGCTGTGCGCTTAAGGTCTCATCATCTTCGAGGGCTGCTGCGGGCTCCTCCTGGCGTGCTTTGGCGCCTTCTTCTTCCAAAAAGCACCTCTGAGCCTTTGGGTAGGGGAGAAACAAGTGACCTAAGTGGTGGTGCAGGGATTCAAAGAAAAAATTTGTTGAGGATCTATTTTGTTACCACCTCCTGGGTGCCATATGCCATCTACTTTGAACTCCCAGTTTGATGAAGTCCTGCCGCTTGAGTTCACATCGTTTGGATTTATATGTCTCTTTCCAGGTTTAGGTTCACATGTCAGCTTGGAAGAGTGCTTTTCGCTCCCAACACAGAGCTCATCCTCCAACATCTGGGGGCTGGCAAATCCCTGCAATCTGCTGGTCCATCTAATGGACTGTTGATCAATAATCCCCCGGGTAAAGAGGATCCAAAAAGGAGGGTGGCCACTAATCAACAGCCTACATTACCCAAATGTCTGATTCTCTCTCTCCCTCTCTCTTCCCTCGCCCCTCCCGCTTCCTCCCTCTCCATCTCGCGCTCTCTCTCTATCTCCCC